CTCGAAACTGTCCTATAAGGTATCTTTTCGCAATGTTCCTTCCACTCTTGCGGGCATGCATATTTTATAAATCCGCGCATATAACCTTTCCCCCACGCCCTCGTCCTCTTCATTGAATATTTTCTCGGCTGCTGCTGGGCCTTCCATATTTCATTACATTATGCCACTCTCGCCCCTCTCCCCGCTCTCTCAATCTCCTCATCGAAAAAAAGTCACGGCGCACGTCACACACAAAAGACCGTAAAAACTGGCGCTGCCCGCCATTGGAGGATTATCGATTAAAAGTTTCGCGCGCGCGTGTGTGCTCGAAGCGCGTGCTACTACTACGGGCGGAGCGGAAAAAAAAAAAATTAAGTTGCTCGCACCCATATTCCGAGGATTGATCGCCACGCGCGTATGCGAGAGCGCGGAAGCACACGCGCACACACACATGAGACGCGCGAGTGGCTTGTCGCGTTCGATATGGATGCATGTGTCTCGTTGTCTCTCTCTCTCTCGACGGCCATTTGCGACGAGTTTCCATTCCGACATTGACGATTCTGTCGGAGCGCACCCGATACCTGCCTGTACGCGTTCGATTGTCAAGGAAACGCCCAAGCTAGAGGCTTATTTTAACGTCCACGCGTTCAAGGTGTTGCGCCAATAAAGGTATTGCAACAACGAAAGCTCGCGTGAAATGTAGGCCGGAGGCTGGCGCGTTAAAAAAAAAGATGTCAATTGGGTAAACCGTGCGCTCGTCAAGTGGCACGTCGGTAATTACCCGCAATTGAATGTGGCGCGGCGCATTTTAATGTCATTTAGCGCTCTCGGCGTATGGAATTGTATCGCTCTAACGGTGCCAATCCGTTGAGCGGCGCGCGCGACCGAGCGATCGCGTACGCGATACAGGCGGCGCGCGCCGAGCGAGCCCGCGAATTCGACGCGCGTCTCGCGAAAAGCAGAAGAAACGATTGGCGTCGGCGATGAGCGGCGCGATCGGCGGCGGGGCGCTCTGATTGTTGGGCGAGCTTGCGGCACTGTGACCCAGTTTTGCATCGCGACGGCGATAAAGAGCAAGGAAAAATAAAGCGCGAATAGGCGGAACCGAATATCGACTCACGGAGAGAAAAAAAGGAGAAAAAAAAAAAAAAAAAACGGCGGGCTGTCGGATGCTGCGCTCGGCGATAAGAGGGTTTCCCATTAAATCATTATTATCAGAGAGCAAAACAGGGAGAAATCGCAATGGACATAATCCACGCGCGTAACAGGAGGCCCGCGCGCAAGCCTAAGAAACAGCTCCGCGCGCACGTGCCGAAAAAATAAAACAAAAAAGCATCGTCGCGCCGGCGAGAAGCAGGAGAGGGGCAGAGACGTTAGAGCAAGGAATGTGCCCCATATGTTCGTCCCGGCCCTTTAGATAAGTCGCACGAGGTTAACCAGAGCGCTCTCGTATTGCTTGTAGCCCCTCTCTCGTTCGCTTGCTCGCCACGGCTGTTTGTTCTCGCTCTTCGCTTCCTCCGTCTCCCGCAAATCTCGCTTTCATTATTTTCCTCTTTCTCTTTCTTTCCCATTACTCGCTGGCCCCCGCTTTACTTCCCAACTACCTAGCTTTTCCACTGCGCTATGCGCGTGCCGATAGCCGGCCTTGTTTAGCTCATCATACTCCCTTACATTGTCATTTTTCGAATGCATCTTAGATGCGCAGACCGTACAATTTTGAAATGCCAGAAACCAGTATATTTACGCGCTTGGCTGCTCTACAGTCGTCCGTTTACAACGAGCTTGATATTGGTCGACAAAATCGATGCTTCTGCCTCTTCTTCGATGCTAATTTGCCTGTGTGTGTCTGCGTATCTGTTCTAGCACTTCCTCTTGCGAAAAACGCTCTTGTACTTATTAACGATGCTTTTTCTTTTTCAGATCACCAATGGAAAATTCACTTATTCCAAAAATATCCATATTCGAAAAAACATTCTTACGAGTCGCGCGACGACGCCGCCGCAGTGTTCTAGGAGTTGAATGACCTTTAATCCACGCGTACCACGAGTTCACTCTGGCGAAATGACATTCTTTTGGGGGGCGGCAAACGCCATTGGAATGACAAGTTGATTGAAAAAATCATCGGAACAAGCGCGCTTTGATACGCAGCACATACATGCGTGTACTCGGATATAGAAAAAAAATTCATAGGCTCCACGCACGGCGAAAGTTTCGCTTTCAATTTGTCGCTAATCCTCTTTGCTTCGCGTCCAAGAGGGTATGGGGAGTGGATTGATGCGCGCCACTGCTCTGGTAAAAAACGAAAATCCAGCGAGATGTGTATGCGCGAGAAAAGAGTAAAAAGGAAGGATTTTTTGCCAATGACGGAGATATACAGTGAGAAAGCGAAAAATACACGCGTGAGTCTAGACGCAAAACATCAGCAATGGCACAAGCCTCGGAGCACGCGGTGCATAATGCATCGTAATGAAAAGGGCGATAGTGAGTAACCCTCAGCCGAAGATGGCGCTGCTCCAGCAAGCAGCGAGAAGAGGGGAAGGTTACGAGCAAACTGGAGAGAGAGAGAGAGAGAGAGAGAGAGAGAGAGAGAGAGAGAGAGAGAGAGAGAGAGAGAGAGAGAGAGAGATAGCTGCGCATAAAAGCGGAGAGAGACGGCAAGCTTTTGAAATCATCCCCCTCCGCTCTCTCGCTGCGAGCAAACGCAGCTGTGCGTGCGCGCAAGACTCGAGAACCGAGCCGAGCACAGCTCCCTTCTCGCGCACTCGCAGTCTCTGTTCGGCCGCCGTTACCGAGCGTGCTAAACTTTTCGTGCGCTGTATCTCGTATATTCGCTACTGTTGCTGCTGCTATAGTTACGTGTGCTCTAGCCTCGCAATAGTCATCTACGGAGCTTTCAAGCCGTTCCCTCTCCAACAGTGGTCGTCTCGCGTTCTCACCTTCCCTTTAACTTGCGCGAGCGTTCGAGAATGGAAGTTGTGCAAGTGAAAGCAAGTGAACGTTGTGTAAAAAAATGCAAAGCTCTTTGCCGAGAGCCACGTGAGCCCGCTGCGGGGACAAGGCGCGTGTGTCGGCAAGATACAGAACAAACATGGCCGCACCGCCGCACGGGAAAGCACGCATACACACGCACATTTTCTCTGCACTTATTACACATCGACTCGGTGCACATATGCCTGCGAGCTAGCGGATATAAATAATGCGGCAACAATTCGCCAAGTTCCACCGGCCAACTTTCATGCCATCAGTTTCATGCCGTCTCTCCCTCTCGCCTCTCTTTTTATATGTTCTGAGAATTTTTCAATCGTGCGTGATTAGACTTTTCCAGTGAAGTAACTCGTGCTCTCTGTGTGATTGCGAACTACTAGGTATACCAGACCGACTTGTGAATTAGGTCCGAGCTTTGCAACGAATTCAATTGATTAATCACGTTTATTCGACAAGCGGCTTATATCTGTTCCGAAATTTCATTAATCGTAATGCACGGTGATTACGAAATGCTCATTTTTATCTTGCGATTCTAAAAATTACTCTTTTTAACTTATAATCGAACGTAACTGTGATGATTATTCAATAGTTTTTGAATGATTCTATGTATGGGTACGTTAGTCAAGTGAGTATATCGTTGTGTATATATCAAGATCTCGACTGATAATTATGAGTAATACTTGACTCAACCAAGACAAAGAATCCATTCATCAAACAATGATGCTAAACGATAGGTTCACGCGTCTTTACCAAGTTAATTTGTATGTAACATAGTATACCTTGAAAAAGTATTTTATATCTTTTAATTAACAACAATGTCATTTGCGATTCATAGAAAATAATTAAATTTTGTTAATTATTCTCAAAGGTGATGAATTTTGAAAAAAAAAATAAATGAAATTATGTAATGTTCATATAATTAGTACAAATTTTCAAGAATGTAAAGCAAACCAACTATTTCTCTTATCTTATATTTTACTTATCTGTGCAGGAAAGCCTGCAGTGATGTTTACACAGCAACCACAACCCTACACATTGTATAATCTTGCTAGGCTCAGAATACAGTGATAACTAGAAGTGTGAAAAAAATGTTCAGTAAAACTTTTACTGAAGAGTTTTTATTGATGTTCAAAATATAAAACATTTTTATTAACATCTGAAATTATAAAAATTTTTATTTTTAGGCACAAAGTCTACAAACAGTTATAATAAATTTATTATTTGATGGCTGGGAACAATAAATTACAAGATACTAGAATAGTTATAAAATATGAAGAGCGTGCCCAAAGTCCCTTGTCATTCTCTTGTCGAGTGTTAATATTTGAATCTACTGGACGGAGAACTGATAAGGGCCCAAGGGTTACAGATACTCCGTGGGATAGTAACAAAAAATTCAATTATAAATTGGAAAATTGAAAAAAAACTTCAATAAAAATAGTATTTGCATATATACTTGTAAGCTAATAGTGCCGAAATATAAAAATATATCGCAATATATCAATTATATATGATAATATAATACAATACTATTTTATTCATGTGTAAGTTTTATTTATATGGTATATTTTGTACTGATATTACTTACTAATTGTATTTAAATAAACAATCTTATATGAGTTATGAGATTTTTTTCTTTGTAGTTTAAAGAAATTATTAACGAATTAATTATGGGAATTAGTAATGATACACATGACTTATACATTTCACAAAATTAGCATTTTATGTTGAAAAATTGTCATAAATTATTTTCATTCACATGGTACATCTAGTTGTCATTATGACACATTTAAATTATTTCAAAGAACAATACAGTTTTATCAACATGAAATTACACAGTTTTCAATCACTATTTCTTTGTAATTTATAATACATAATATTGATTGTTATATGTCACTAAAACACTTGAAATTGTTTCAAATACTTTAATAAAATTGTTTTGCAACAAATCTTGTTCTTATTTATTTAAAAATTAATAACATTGATAAAATTAAGAATACTCCAATTAATATACGTAATTTTGTAAAATAATAAAATTATAAATTAATTCTTTCAAAAAATATCTTTCGAAATGATATGATGCTTAAGTTATTTTATAAATATAAAAAAAACTGTACAAACAAATAATTACAAATTTTTTACATCAAATACATTACTTTATAAATTATTAAATAGTATCACATTTTTGGCTTTTTTTTGTTTCCATACAAAGTTATAGCAATTAATAATATACCAGTCTTTCACTTAACCACATTGTGGCTTCATGTTATAGTATTCTCAGAAATTATATCTTTCTTTAAATCCTCATGCTCTATAATAGGACTATCTTGTGCCAAAGAAACTTCTGTGACATCAGTAGGCATAAAACTTAAAATCTGTTTAGTAGTAGAAGTCTGCGTAACAAGTGGTGAAACAATACTGATGGTAGGTATAGTTTTAATGCAATCTGGTCCATGAAGAGTGATAGTATTTGCTGTAGAGTTCGATTTTGGTAAGATGATAGGAGTTTTTACGCAAGACAATATCAGTGGTTTCTTTTTCGGCACTATTAATTTTTCCGTATTGAGACGTTTTATAGACTGCACCACTCTTGACATAACTGGAATTTGTTTCATTTCATCTGGGTTTATTGTCAATATTTTAGAACCAACTATTATTCCATTTCCTGTAATAAAAATTGATGTAAAATAATCATACATATTTTTAAATAGACAAAATAAATATAATTTATGAAAATTTATACCTCCTTCCATAGCTTTTGTTACAGGACAATCTTTATGAGCTAATAACAATGTTTTTAATTTTGCAACTTGGTTGTGAAGGGATTTTACTTGAGCCTGTAAATTTGCATTTGTTTGATTTGCAGTTTTTAAAGAATCTTGCAATTGTTCTATCCAAGCTTTTCTCTTTGCTCGAGCTCGCATTGAACTAGCCCGATTCCTTTCTAAAATAGCTTGTTTTCTGTAAAGGTCAATGTGATTATATCGCTTTTCTTTTACGTGTTCGACTAGTTTGTTTTCATTTTTATTATTTTGTGTTGCTCTGTCTTCAATCACAGTACCATTTTTTGGAAGCACTTGCTTCAACTTCTGAAATCAACAAAATAAAAGGTGAATTAAGAAGAGAAACGAATCAAATATATAGATATGACTCTCTGGTATTTAAATTAAAAAATTACTATTTTAGCTGCACACAATTTTTGATCTGGATTTGTTTTTGATTTATTGGAATTACTTTTAACAGTAATTTTACTCTCGATTAGTTCATTCATTTGTGGCTTCATAGTTTCTTCTTGTAGTTCAGCTGCAGGTGCAGCAATAAATCTTAAAACCTTTCCATCCTGTATTTTTAGTAGAAGTTGCATTTCTGCATCATCGATAGGTCTAAACAAAAAAATATTACTTTAAAAAAATTCAACAAAATATCATATGTAAATAATATATTACTCACAAAGCATCTGGTTTTACTAAATTACTATTATCTGACAATAATATTTCTGAGGTAGGTTGTACGGTTTGAGTTTTTTTCAAAACAGTGTCTATAGATGATTCATCATTTTTTTCTACATATTGCACTTTAGTTTCAACATTTGTTTCCTTAATTATTGGGGTTGTTATCAACGATAACTCTGTCTGATGTTTTATATCTGGTTTTACAATGTGAATGCTTGTAGTTGTATTTGCAATAGAGGCATTGCATTCAGTCGTAATAGAAGAAAAAATACTTGGAGTATGGAGTGTATCATCATTGTCAACCTGAAATGTTCACATGTAATGAATATGAGTACTTATTAATTACGATATATCTTTTAGTAAATAATTTAAATAAGAATTTGAAAATGTTAAGCTTACGTCAGGTATAGTAAGAACTCCACTTTTTCCAGTTTCAACAGCTCTTCGAAAAGTTTCTTCAAAAGGATTGTCATTTTGAAGATCTTGAAAAAGACCAACTTCTTCACAATTTCTTATAAATCTTGTAGGTGTTGGCGTTTGATCAGCTATAAGATAAAAGATGAATAAGTCATTTTAAAGCAGTAACAATATGTACTAGAACAAGAAGTTTATGAATTATTTAATTCAATTAATATACGTACAATAAGCTAATCCATCTATACTATAAACATATAGATCATATTCCAGAATATAGTATGATATGTTATTGATAGGACAAAGATATAACAAAGTATATGATACAATTTGTAAACCTTACATCGTTCAATCTAAATAAATTAACTCACAAAAATATAAACCTTTTGTAATAAAAGAAATGAATTAATAGTAATCATTCTAGCATCCTATATGATATGTAGTTAAGAGGGGTTGTACAGACCAATAACAAAATTAGTCTCACCAATGAAAAAATTGGTCTTGTTATTAATTCCAAGGTTCAACATCATGTCGTGCTTCTTTTTGTGGACGGTTAAATGATCTTCGTTGACAAAACTCTAAACAATGAATTGAAAACAACAATGAGAGAGGTTAAGACAAACGTTCTAATCGAGTCGCACGAATGTTATGTATTCAACTTACCATATTGCAGCCTTCGGTTGTGCAAGCGAATGGCTTTTCCGAGTGATTCATTTTGATGCATGTGTAACGATGTCAGGTTTTATTATGTACAAAAGCGAACGAAGCCGAACAATTCGGAATTCTATTATGTTGATTACACACAAATACTCAGCTGCAGCCTGCGCCTGCTCAGTCGCAGCAGCTGACATTTGTTTGTTCACTCGCGAGATACCAGGTGACGCCAAAATCCCCTTTTACCGGTAAAATCGTCTAGGCGATGAATTTAAGTATACTTTACTAATTTTCATGATTTCTATTGTTTTAAGGCGCCTCTATATAGACATACAAATACATGTTGATAGCAGGCAACCGATCACTTCATGATATTGACAGCTGGGTTCTCATGAATAATACATAGTCTTGTGTAAAAGATACCAGGACCAGCATTTTTTGAAAACGATCAATTTGCTTATGCAAAAGTGATAAACTTGCGTAGTATATCAGTCTCAAATTGAAATTAGCCTTGAAGTCTACAATACGAAAAGTAGCGAGTAAAAGTGTTGAAAAAATTGTGACCGATATCGGAAATTTATAGCACGGACATACATGTAACTTGAATGGAGGTCGACTTGTACTACGATGCTTGTAGAGTGGGATCGATTCGGTTATCCGGAGTCAAGCCTTTATCTACCAATGGATCACATTGTCGTGGGCAGCGGCTGTGACTTCGGAGCATTTGTCAATGGTAGCTCTGTTCGCTAAAACTGGTACGTCAGATATGAGGAACCTATATCTTTACTAAATGTCACAGATTACACCAACGAATTAGAAATCCTTATAATTATTAACAATTAATGTTGGTTGCTACCGAATATTTGAATATTGTATGCAGTAAAATTCCGTAGGATTCTTATTATGGAATAACGCATCGTTATCTAGCACTTGAATGATCGGATAATGAAAAATTGTTTAAAGTCAACGTGATAAAAGATCAATACAATAACGCTATAATTATGGAATATACTTGCGAAAACTTGTTTATTTTGAAATGTGCAATCATTAACTAGGATCAATTTGCTAATGAACTGTCATCGTACTCATGTGCATTGCGAAATATTTTATAATAATCTATAGATTTCTTATCATTCTATTGGCCAATAGATTTTTTATCAAAGCTTTACATTCTATTATCAATGCTTAATTTTAATAGTAGCTACATACTCATTAGCCAATTTAGCCATACCTTCAGAACTCCAATTTATTTATTTATTTTAATATAACGTATACCTGTCGGCGCTTACTTATTAAACATTAAATTCGCATCTCCGTTTTGAAAAATCCATTTTTCCGATTGACATTGTATATTATTTTAATTGTATCTAGCGAAATGCTTTCGATCGACAGCGAATTTTTCGAGGCTTCATTTTGAACTGTATGATACGTTTTTATGCAGCCCCATGTAAGTTCAGAATTACGTGTTATATTTTAGAATAAGTTTTATTGTCAATAATTATTGTAATTTTGCTTGTATTTATGCATTACAAATTTTCTGAAACAAGATGATTCATTAAATTATCGCGCAAATCGAACGCAGATAAATAAACTGATGGTGAATTGAATGCACAATAATTAATCGTTAGATATTCTCGTCGATTGAATTTTCAATGATAAGGGGGATTAAAAGACTGCGTATATACTTATGAATTGTATATTTGCTCTGTGTCCGTGCTACATCTAAAATCTTCATAATTAACTGTATTGAAATTTGAATTTGTTTTTCATTTGAAAAGTTTGCGTGTGTATATTTTCATTTACACATAGATTATTTCTAATTACATTGGCTCCAATCGTATAAAATTAACATTTTCTTTCAAAGCACAACACATACTTTAACGATTAGATATTAGCGATAAGCTACAGTGAATGAATTATAGGGTTTCAATATTGTTTAGAAAAACATAATGATAATGTGTAAAAACGTTTGTTGGAGGATATTACAAACAGTATTACAACAGACTGCGTGGCAAATTTGATACAAAACGGCAATACAATAATTTTAATCATAAAATGAAATACAATGTCAAGTCTTAGATTAGTGATTTCTAACAAAAAAAAATAAAAAAATACGCGTACAAGAAACGTTGTTAATTGGGTCGGTTTATAAGATTACATAAGTCCGTTTGGACGTGAAGAAGGAGAATTTCTCGTGGATAAGTTCACGTAGCACTCTATAATTATTAAACGTGATTGAGAAAGATGATCCATGGAGGATCAGATCTCATCGGATTGCCTTTTCCCGTAACGAATACATAGGTATGTAGTTATCTATCTCGATTTTCACGAAATTCAAAGAATAATATTGTAAGCACTAAATAAATATCGATTTTACTGTAATGTTTTCGCAAGCAAACTCCATTTATGCGACATCCTCTGAAACCGATAATAGCGGCGAGTATAGGACGCTTAACGGGAAGGAAACAAAGACATAAAAGTGTAGATATGTAAGTAGCGGAGCTACTGTCTCCGCGCGTCAGCCATGCGCGAACCATTCGAGCCGATCAAGCGCGACACGAGATATTATTCATGAAATCACTCCGTATTGCCAGAGATATATATTTAGTTATTCTAACACGTTGAGTCTCCCGTTTCTCGCTCATTCTAACAAGATCTTCATTTGGATTTTTAGTGAGTACAAATTGCAGGCAATCACTGAAAAAAGTTTCATGTGCTTTATTCTCAAACACATTGCAAGCCTCCGTCGCTGATTAGCACTGATGGAGCGTAAATAGAGCGACGTTAAATAAAAAAAAAAAAAAAAAAATTGTCGGCATAATTATAGCTAATGGAATATACGGAATGATCGACGAGAAAGCAATGATACTTCTATGAATAAAAAGCACCGTACTGGATAACAAGTTCAAACAATGAATCCGAAGAAATTTATATTTTCCAAAAGTTGAGATGAAAAGAAAAGTGTTTACTTATAGGGATTCACTTGCTCAGTGCTTGTCAGAGAGGAATCCGCGAAACGTATTTTTAAATTTAACTATGGAATAAAGCAACAACATTTCGAAAAATTCCGTTTAGCATAAAGTTTCAAAATCGACGATTACGTTTTTTGTTTATAATGAATTATAATCTCGAAAGTTATGAAACGAGTAATTTAAATTGTCAAAAAACTGTCAGTAATTTGCAAAAATTAAATTGAAATTCTAAAGAAATGTCATATGTTAATTTCAATCAGAAAATAACAAAATATCGTCCCCTAAGTAATTTTCGATTTTTATTTCGAAAAACATTTCATAACGCTTTTTCAGAAAAACGTAAAACCTGTGGTTATAAAGCGATTGATACATTAGAAAAAATAGGTAACGGTGCTTCTAAAAACGCGCTTAAAGATTGATACCTCAGTGCAACGTTAAATATTTTCTATAATAAAAAAAATCTGTATTAAGGTTTTTAATTTAATATACGCACTTTCGTAACGTTAATAAATAATATAGTATTTAAAAAAAAACTGAATTTTCGAAAATTCGTAATAAACTTACGATTTATATAAACGAACAAAAGTATACTTACCGATTTAAATTTACTGGAGCATGTGCATATATGGATTATACGAAATACAGTTTCAGTGATTTGTTGTTTCTTCAATTTAATATTGTTGGTAATTACAAATTTTTAGATTGCGGCTTAACATTTTATAGATCTTATCCTTATACCGAAACAATTGTACTACCAAATGCTAGTAACGCAGTAGAAGTTTATTGGTTGAATCATGAATTATGCTTGGTTTTATACGAGGGTGGTCCTAGAAGTACCCGGCCTGACCTAGAGATGGGGGTAGTTGTTTGAAAAATATAACTTTATTAGAAAATAAGCAATCTATAAAGCATATGTTTCAAGTTTTTATTTAGTCGTTGTTTGGCAGCTATCAATAGTGAACGTTGATAATGAATTTGTGAAACTGGAGAAAATTGGTCGTCGTTGTGTGATACAATACTTTTGTTTGAAAGGTCTCAGCCCAACCAATGTAAAAGATGAACTAGATTTTACTGTGGGTGAGTCTGCTCCGTCGTTTACAACAGTAAAATATTAGGTAGCAGAGTTTAAACGAGGCCATACGAGCTGTCAAAGACGAGCATCGCAGTGGTCGACCAAATGAGGTGACGGATTCCAGAAACGGTGAAGAAAACCCACAAACTGGTACTGGATGATCGTTGACTGAAAGTGCGCGAGCTTAATAGACATATAGTAGGCATTTCAAAAAGTGCGGTACATCGCATATTATTTGAAAATTTAGACATGAGTAATCTGTATTAACGATGCTTAATTTGGCAGCATGTCGTTATATTCTTACTTATTTCAAAGTATTTGATAAATTATCGAGTTCATATTGTTTATTGGTAGGTAAATAAATTCTATTTTATTGTTTCCTGATTGTCGATAATATCGCCAATAAATGTTCAATTGCATATACATTCATCACATTTATTATGCCTTGACCTTTATTATCAAGTACAAGTAACATTTATCACGAGAAACTGACAACACATTTTATCAACGGTCAAAAAAAAAAGAAGTTTTATTTCGTATTTTGCAGCTAGCTGTAGGATCGATTAAGCGCAACCCTCCTGAAAATTAGTTAAGAACTTATCGTATATGGTAATGGGATAAATCGAAAAACACTTGCAAGTCCTTGACCAAGTACTTGCATAAGTTCTTATGTGGTTTCTTATACAATTTCTTACCCAAGTTCTTGCCCAAGATCTTGCTAACTAATTTTCAGGAGGGAATAGTTATATTTTTTATATAGATGACCTTTTCAACGTAAGCGAGTTCATTTTTAAGTAAACGATTGATAACCGCATCAGGCGGTAAGTAAATGTTTATTTCGCGATATATATTTAGAAATAATAATCTTTTTGGATGTTCAATCGCGTAGTTTCACAAAAGATGGCAAAAGGAATGATTTGAAAGCGGGCTAATCTTGCTGCTTGCCGTTATTTCGTATTATAGTCCACTATTAATTGTCAGTTAATTATTTGACTGTTGTATTTTAGAATGTCGAAGATTTTGTTTTGTTCAATCAAGATCAGTTACCTCCATTTAACGACTCAAATGATGTTTCTTAAATAAATATATTATTCTGTGGCTTAATTAAGTCTGTAATGATTTCGTGAAGAAAAATTCAGTAAAGTTATAATAGAATATGAGCTCAGCAAGCTACTAGATTGTTTAAATAAAGTAATTTTGCAACGTTGGAAGCAGTCAATTCAAATCACGTCAGTAAATGTCAGTATACGTTTCAATTCGTTTGATATTGAAGAAAAATTGATTTGGTCAAGTCAGACTTGAAGATAGTTGATTGCGAGGGAAAGTTCGGTTATGATTCATAGAAGTCCACGTTAAATTTAATATTAAAAATTAAAAGCCAGCATGAAACAGCGGGCGGTGTAAAGATAAGAGCAGAGGATTAGCACACCGATGAGGATGTCCAGCAGCGGATCAAGCTCAATTTTGAAGCTCAAGCGCGCATATAATAATAGTAATATTGCAAAGGAAACGTGAAACGGTGCGTCATCGCATGAAATGCATGATAAATTGGATAAGTTTTACGGCAAAAATGTGATTATACAGTCCAAGTTTGCGAAGAAAGATGTTCAGTATAGATATAGGATGTTGCGAGAAAGAATCAAAGAACACGTGATCATTAAAACAGTTACAGTCATTTATTTTAATAACTCCATAGGACAACATAACGTAAAGTGACAAACTTTGATCATAAATAAGATACAATGACATGGTTATCCAAGTAACGTCTAAATCACCGAACAATAAGTAGACGTAACGCTATCAATTCAATCGATACTTTGAACGTACACGACCACTGAAGTCGAGAATGACGCGCACTCGTCCGTCGAGACGGAAGAGCTCCTCGTGAATAAGCATAAAGTTAACTCGCCTTTCCCCTTAAAAAAATCACTTAACAAATGCGCGTCGTTGCAAAACTTGAATGGCCAGTCGACACGTCGCCTTAGTCTTAAAAACTGTCCACTATACATGACGGTTAAGCCATCGCTTTTGGCCAGTTTATTTACAATCTATATGTATAAAGAGCGAGGGAGAGAGAAGAAAAGAAGGGTAAACTGACCAAACGAATGACCAATTCACGCGTTAAATCGTGGTGCATTTTTATTGTCTGACTGGTTTACATGTATACATTTACATTGAAAATTTTCATATCCGTATGAGCGTTTTTTTTGTATAAAAACCCTTAATGAGACGATGGCTGCGTCGTGAATATAGAAGAACATAAAAATGGAACATTTGCCCATAATCGATGAATATACACGGTAGTAGTATAATACGTATGATAATAATTGTTTTATTGTTTCGTTTTTTTCTGAGTTTTCTTTTTGTTGACATGCGATATTGAAGTATATCCGTGTTTTCTTTCGCGGTATTCCAGCCCGCCAAAAAAAAAAATCGGTTTTTATCGTGGTCGGATGACAATTGGATTTCCGCTGGCAATCGGTTATTTGGATGCTGTTTAATAACCGGCCAACTCGGCGAAGGTGGAGTCCATCTCGTCGGCCAGAGACTTGTATCTGTCCTTGTTGACACCGAGCTCGTCTGTAAAACACACAACAATTCGAATTATTATCACGCTTCTGTTTATACTATTTTTTTTTTACTTTGTCAAAATCGATTGTTCATTCATCTATGAAAATTTTTTACGCCAAAGCTGCCTCAATACTACCACTATAAATTCATTTTCCACTGAACTTTATTATTCGCGATCGAATAGCCGTATTTAACATTATTTATTAGGCAAGCCAACTAGAACACATAGCGGTTTTATGTTTAGCTACTTAAAACTAATTGGTATCATCAAATGATTGTGTGTAGACGAAAAAGGTATATAATAACGATGCCCTTGTTCGTTAATAAACACTCAGATTTTTTATATTTTAGAACCGTAATTAGTCCTCCATTTAGCTAATTTGGAGTATCTTTTAATTACTGTCTGTTTTCAATAATTTTCGTTAATACAAAAACAACTTTTCCCGGGATAGCCGTTTCATATTTTACGAAATACTGTGTGATTCATAACCACTACATGAATTTGGTCTACAAATAAGTTTAACACAAAAAAAAAACTTCTACGTAATCCAAAACAGCTTAATGTTCACACAGAGGAAACGCGTAAAAAGTCCGCTTGAAAGCACTTCTAAACTTATTGGTTCGTATCAAAGACATTTTAAATAATCTCATCAAACGAAGTTTTCAGATATAATATATTCTAGAAGTGCTTTCAGGGTGTCTATTTACGTTTCGTCACCTCTCTCGCGTTTTTGCGGCCAGGAGCTTTGAGACACAAAATAACTAGGGTAAACGTTTTGGATGGTAAGAAAGAGAAGAGGGTGGGGGGGGGGGGGTGATGGTCTGGGTGCGCCAAAAATGACACATGCTCTAATTTCTACGAGACAATTATTCTCCACCACGTCTCTCTACCACAAGGGGGACAAAAAATTGCTGTTTGCAAGGAAAATAAGACAGTAGGTAGAGAAAGAAAAGACAAGAAGAAGAAAGGCCGAAATACCTGCGGGAGCTTGAGAGCTTTTCGTTAGCTCTGTCTCGTCGTCATCGTCGACGTCAACGTTCGTGCGTAATAGTTTTCATTATTTTTGCTTAAGATATTTTTTCTTTTATTTTTATTGTGAAAGGAGAAAAGCGTGTGATCTTCCTGGCAGTGACAACACTTTTCCACTGCGCGATAATTATGCTGAACCGCAATCAGTTACGATATATGCGTTAAAGTCTAATGCTACATGTAAAGTATAAATATTCGAACGAACGGTTAATTGCAGAGTTGAAATAATAGTGAAGTTTGTGCGTAAAATTGCAAGGGTATACTGCTCAAGATCTAGTTAAAGAATTTTTTTGGCAGTCAGAATTTTACAAAAATACTTTTATTTGAGCTAATTAATTATTTTAATTGAAGGAAAAGTTGGTAGAGATAAATACAGCAGCTCGGAAAGAAACTCATGTCTTGGAACAAATTAGCCGCTGCAGCAATGAGCTCTGAAATAGAGTTCAATTTTGCTGCTTGCACAATTGGTCCTAGAAATGAAAAACCTTCCGCGCAATGTATGTTGAAAAAAACAAAAGGGATAAACGCGAGTGAAACAGCAAAAACGGCTTCGTTATAATGTTCACATATGCATAGGGACGCATTGAGTAATACACATATATGTATATAATTGGCTATATCAGGGGTCAAGGGGTGTCGTATTGTGATTTGAAAAAATGTGGCTTTGTTAATTAGAGTTTCATGTTTAATAGCCCGTGAGCTCGGCGAATGTCGAGTCCAGGTCGTCGCAAATTGCTTTGTGCTTCTCCTTCTGGCGGAACAAGTCGTCTGCAATGAGAAATTGGTTTCTTTTTTTTTTTTTTCTGGGGCTATTCGATTCCAATTATTTTATCTCGACGCCGTCAATTTGGTACTAAATTTTTTTCGGCGTCGAAGTGAAAACAAAATAACTACATTAGTTACACGTATCCTTGGACGATGTGGTTACGTGTATAATCAATAAAATTCTAGATTGGACTTGTTTTAATAAAGTAAAAATAAGTTATTAGTCGGGGTGCTAGAAAAACATTCACGATTTCTGCGACTTTTCTGGATTTTCATAATTAGCCTTTGAGTGAAACCAATAAAAATTACAACAGTAAGGTCAGAAACACGATCTTAAAATATACTTTCATAGATAAGTTGTCGGTACCAATTTCAAAACGCTGCATAAAAAATGTTGGAACTATTTGCAAATCTACAAAAGCATTAATGTATTCGAAATTGAACAAAGTACGATTTTGAAAATTTCTAATGACAGTACAAAACGGCACATGTATGAGAAATGAAAAAATAAGGGGTGAAACGTAGGTGTCGCTTAAGTTTTTCTAAAAACTGACCTTCGAGCCTGTCGACTTCCTTCTGGAGCTTCTTGACGGTCTTCTCGGCGAATTCGGCACGAGCCTCGGCCTCCTTTAGTTTGACTGTGAGGGTCTTCAGTTGCCTCTTGAACTCTTCGACTCTTTGATTGGCCTAAAAAATGTCTCGATTGACAAAGTTTCTAATGCATTACTTGGCAATGCTCACCTTCTCTTCGGAGACTTCCAAAGATTTCAAGCTGTTGCCGACGACTTTGAGTTCCTCCTCGAGCTCCATGATTTTGCTGAGCAGATAAGTGTTGGACTTGATGGAAAATCGTTCAAACTGGGAAAGGCACGAAGGAGTAAGAAGTAACTTACGCCTCTCCGGATTTGACGCGATCCTCGGCAACTTCAAGCTCGTCTTCAACGAAGGCCAGCTTGCGGGAGACCTCGTCGGATTTACCGTCGGCGTCCTCGGCCAAGAGACGAGCCTCCTTGAGCTGGTTCGTCAGCTGGTCCATTCGCTCCTCGTCCTGTTGGGCGCGGTTCTCCAATACTTTGCACATACTGCGGACAGAAAAATCCCCTCAAAATTCGGCGAACTTATCGACGAGAAAGAGGATTGGTCGTCGTACTGGAATCTCGAGCCAAATTACAAAGCCGATGCCAGGCGGAAACGAGGGCGCGCAGTAGCTAAGCGTAAACTTTGAATGGAGTGGAAAGCGCGCATATGCGACAAAGCGTAGGAAAGTTTCAAGTCCGAGCGTTTGCGCGCGGACTTGCTCTAAATAAAGCTATGAAGTTTCGGGCCGCTCTCGAGCGAAAGCGCCGGCCCGATATCAGGCAAAAGGGCTTGGCAAAAGTTTACCGGCTAGACTCGTCGGCGGCTTGGGAGGCTTCCGTCAGCTTGGCAGTGGCGGTGTTGAGACGCTCTTCCGAGCGCTCCAAGTCCTCCTCGATCAGCTGCACTTTTCTGTTCAAAGCGGCCACCTCGGATTCAGCCTGCAATGCGCGTCGTTAACTTCAGTTTCATTGTTTCATTGTTTCGTTGCTTCATTGACAATGGCACGCGAACACTGTGTTGTCCAGGAAACACAAGCAGGTCAACGTTTAACGAAGACAAGAGCAACAAATTTCAAAGCTTACGCGAAGGGGAAGCATCGGAAAAGTGTTCGGGAGTGGACTGTTAAACGAAACACGTGATTTTTTTACACTGCCATTCGCGTTGGACGTTATTTTCTTACTATATTGTCCAGCTGTTCGTATACAGCGTGAGTCTGACCGCGCACTCCGACTTACGTTGGTGAGGGATTTTTCCTTCTCCTCGAGGTCCTTGTTGGCCTGCTCGAGGTTAGCCTTGTTGGTGACGAGATCGTTTTCAACTTGCGACAGCTTTTTCTTCAGATCCTGGACTTCCTCGAGAACTTTGTCCGCGCGCATGTTGGCCTCTTTGGCCTGTCCTTCGCATACGTCGGCTTTGTCCTGCGCATTGTCCTTCTCAAGCTTCATCGCTTGCATCTTCTTCTTGATCGCGTCCATGCTGGCGACTTCTGTTTGTCTCGCTTACTCGTGAAAAAAACTGAACTACTGCTGTTACAAAATCCAAGTCATTAGTCTTTTTGTCGACGATTCTTTTTCATTTCGAATTCATTGCAAGAGAAGTATAACTTGAAATACACAAGTGCTAAGCATTTTTGTTAACTTCAAACATTATCGTAAACAAATTTAGGGAGCCTCCGGCTACCTGTAGGTCAATCATTTAGCTTTCTTTTCAAACTCTGATAAATAAAAGCGGTATTTATTAAAAATATTCAGTAGTATTTTAAACGTCTTTTAGAAATATACAAATAACGTTTTTCCTAAAAAAGCTCGATTACGTATGACATTGCGTCGTCGCTTATTAAATCTTTAGGAAAATTTGGCAACGTTGGAAACTCTTAAACTTATCATAAACAAGCCTACACGAATAAAATGGACCGAACGCGAGGCGAATATTTAGCAACAGCTCTGATGTTTTTGATTATTGATTGTCAACTTTCGTATTGTAAACGGTGATACGCACGGCTACTCATCAAATATAAGATTGATCAGAAAAAAGAACCTCGTCCATTATAAAAATATACGTTTGCAAATCACGAAAATAAATCCAAAAAAAATCATCTGAAGCTCAATTGTGCGTCGGATGAGACGAGCAGAAAGAACGAAGGCCAACGAAAATAGCGCGAGCAGTCGATTTACATTGTATCAACAATATCCGAAATAGCGAGAAAGACAGAGTTAAGGAATGATGTCGATTTGCATTAACATTAATTTTCAGAAAAATACGTCCTTTATTTATTCATACTTGCTGAAAGTATCAACGTAATTGGGGATCACTCGTCGATCGAAGCAGCCAAAATGAAAAATTTGCGCAGTCGGTCGAGGTGACTGGAAGGCGCAGCGCGTCGAATGTTCGAGGGAGCGCGCGCGATAAATCGCGGGAGCGATCAATCGGTCGACGAAATTGGCGGCAGCCGTTCGCGAGCTCGCTCGGAAGCCGAGGCGACGGAGGCAAGAGAAAGAGAGTTGGAAAAAAAGCGAGATTTTTTCGCTGGGAAAAACACGGGCGGTGGCGGCGGCGGCGGCGGTGGCGGTAACGCGAGCATGGTACGCAATCGCGCGCTGCCGAGCGGATATCTACGGAAATAGCATTAGAGCCGGAGTTTATTAATAGATCGTTGAACAGGCGGCGCGCACATCATCGAAAGGGACCTGCCTGTTTTCTCTCTCTCTCTCTCTCTCTCTCTCTCTCTCTCTCTCTTTCTTACTCCAGTAGTGCAAGCGCGCGAGCTTTACTTGGTCGGCCGACACCCGATCTTCTCCGCGAGAGCGCCGTGAAAATCTTGAGAGAGAACGGTAGAGGGAGAGGACCGACTGTTATATTTAGACAGCTTCCCGGAGAGGATAAGGCTTTTGCAAAAGCTCCGATCGCTTCACCTTCTCGCGTCCTACTCTCGCTCGCGAAATCTATAGGCGGATTTTGAGTTCACGGCGCGGACAGCTCCAGATGATTGTGTTGAACTTCACATTGTCCGCTGACTTGGAAGCTTGGGAAGCGGACTCGACCCATATTTGCGAACGCGAATCCTCAACAATTTGTCAATTTTCAGCAATATTTCTTTCCTCCGCGCATTCGCGTTTCGAGGGTTCTAAGTCTGTAATACAGCACGACGATTCATTTTCTTTTCGTTTATTTTACGATGACACACTTATCGTTGGGCTCTGTCAAGTCGAAACTCAAACAAATACTTAAAACTAAGGATACGAAATTTAACGTAAAATTATCGTCTACCGAATTTACTTAGTGGACTGTCAAATTGTCGACGGCAACCAAATTTCATGAGAAAGACGGTAATTGCTACGGAATTTAAAAAAAAAGTTAAAGAGAAGATATTAATATCTTTCCGATGATTCTCACCTTACAAGCTCAATTGAATTTGCGCGAAGGTAGAAACAATCAAGTTGCAATCGCTCAACAGCGAAGCAATTAGCGAAACAATCCGGAAACGCCTCTGAATGTACACAGAGAGCGTGCTTGCAAGCTCAGCGAGCGAAAGAGTGAACGAGAGAGAGAGAGAGAGAGAGGGAGAGAGAGGGAGGGAGCGAATTCCTCCGGAAGCACGCGTCTTGCGTGCCTCGGAGGCCGATCGGCGTGCCATTGCGAATTCTACCTGCGCGAGTTGTGTGCCGATCAAAGGGTTTCGCACTCGCGCGACCTTGCAAAAGCTCTGTCCGCCATGTTTGATTTCCACTTGCCGCCCCCCTTCCGCCCCTATAGCCGGTCAACTTCTCACGGCGCGGCTCGTGCGAGAGTTTCAAAATAGATTTTGGCGAGAATGCGCGCATTCCACTCGCGGGGGGTTAGCGCTGTCTCTTTTTCAACGATCCTCGCCTTTTCCCTCGCGCGCGTTTCATCTGCTCAGCCTCTCTGACCTAATTCTTCTCTCTCTCTCTCTCTCTCTCTCTCTTTCTCGCTCACGCGCCGACGACTTTCCTGGATTCGCGTTGCGCTCTTTCTCTGCTTCTTTCCTTCTCTCGCGGGACACTTTTATTTTCGCTTGCCGTCCAAGGTTTCATCGTTTGATCGTCGTTAGCGAAAATACATAATGCTCTCAACGGCATTGAGTCACGCGTGTATATTTAGGAAAAATTTTGCGTTACAGGTTGTATTTTCGGCGCGTCTGTCGGATCGTTAACGAGATCGGCTCTGGCGAAGCTGCTTCTATTGAGAAAAGGAACGACAACCGTAGAGAATTGAAGAAAAAAAAAACGCTCCGTTCGTATTTTCCGACTCGTCGCGGTTTCGACCGTCTCACTGGAAATATTTCATGCTCGAAAGTGTCGACCCACTTGTTGCGCGTATTTTAAGATGAATCCAGCAATTTTCTCCGCGAGGTCGTTATGCTAATTATAAATAGTCGAGTGTTAAGTTAGAGTTTTCTTCGCAATACTTCGGAGATGAATGCAAGGGACCGATAAACGTTAATAAGACACGACTGTTTTTTTTCTTTTTTTTTTGTGAAACGAGAGCGAAGAAGACTCTAAACACACTGGATTAGGTAGATAGACGAATTTCAGAATAACACACTGTATGAGTACGCGGGCTATTTGCGTCCAAGTCAGTGTGCCTCTATCCAGCTCGAGTTCGTATTGCGCAGAGACTGCGACAAACACCGTGTATCACTTGAGCACTTGTAATCGAAGTAATAACGCTGCTGAAATTCATCGTCCGATACCGATAGAAGTTAAAAATCATCACTATTCAAATCTACATCCGATACTAAGAGTCAAAAACGTTAGCGTTGATGCGTGTTAAAGAGCTTTAGTACTTACAGCCGTGCTCTGCAAGAGCAAAAACAAATGCAATCGGAAGCAGCAGACAAAAGTCCAAGCCAGGCTAGATCGTCGGAGGTGGTCATGTCTTGTCTGATCTTGAAGAGAATACGAAAAAATGGCACAAGCTGCAAGATCTCACAGACTCTCACACAAAATAGACGGAAAGCAGTGATCCGTGTTTGAAAAAAGTCACGCGCACTTTCGCTACAAAAAGCTTCGGCGATGCAGTCGACGCATCGTTGATGAAGAGATAGAGATAGATAGATAGAGATAGAGATAGATAGATAGAGAGAGAGAGAGAGAGAGAGAGATACAGAAAAAAAAACGAGAAAAAAAAAACCTACTTACCCGAGCGTTCGGAACGACGCGCGTCGAGTGTCTCTCGCACTGCTGGCGAAGCTCGCCGGGACGACTTCTTGACTCGTGGCCCTGCCCCGGAGTTAGCCCGCGGGTGGGGAATCCAAAAATGGCGAGCGCTACAACCGAGAGAAAATCTCTCTCACGGGCAGGCCGATTCCCCGAGATTCTTTAGCCCAACGCTCACGCAGCTGCCTTTACCACGCGGGCGCTTGCCTTGCTTTATTTCCACATGTTTTCACGCACACACACACACACATACTCTCCGCCTCCCTCGGTTCCTTCTTATCGCTTCACCATTTGACCATATCGCATGGATCCTGACCAGTTTATTTTGCGTGCTTGCTTTTGATGCTGCTATTGGTCGGTAACTTCGCCTCGCAAGCTCTGCGTAATAATCTTGCAATGTGTATTTGGTACTCAGAACGAAAGAGATAGTAACTTACTGATATAAATGAATATAGATATTACGAACTATAAAAATATAGAATAACATATCAAGTAGAAGTAGTCGAATTCGGTCAGACATATGCAATGTTTCAATAAATTTATTTCTCAAGTTGTGGTAAATTACTATAAATTTGATAAAAATTATATTTAAATTACGTTACTACTGATTAATAATTGCGACTAAAAGGTTTTTTATACATTTCGTTGAGTTACATTAAAAGTATTTCATTTAATAGATTTGGAAACTTTTGAAATTGGAAATTATGGAATGATCCTTAGTTTGAGGAAGTTATTTTTATTACTTTGGTGCTATTATTTTTTGCCAACTGTATGCATGTATACCACATTTCTGCGAAACGTGTAGAATAATTTTCTTTTAAACTTTTGAAATTCATTTATAAAACTGTATGCAATTTGTTATTTGATTTTTCACATTTTCTTCACGGTCATAGTTTTTCTTTTTTTTTATGTTTGAGCAAACTCCTAAATATTTTTTTTCATAAACTATGGAAGAAATGTATCAATTAAATACTCGTTGAAGACTATCAATCAAATTAAGAAAAAATGGAGACAAAGTATATTGTCGTGGTTTCGTGTCGAACGACCCAGTAACGTTATTGGGGCAATTCCTAAGAATAAACTGCGACTAAACGACACCGGACTGTACGGTTATATACAAAGTATTTAATATCGAAAGAAAAAATTTCGTTGTGCCAACAGAATCAAAATAACCTCTCGAACAACATGATACTGTTTACTAGATTAGATATGCTTCAAAAATGTTCATTAGATTCTAATCGTTATATTAAAAAAGTAATTTAACTGTTTAACAACATTATACATAATTTTTCGAAGTTTAGAATAATTATTGATCTTTAATGATTAGCTATTTTGATTAGCAGGGTAATGCAATGAATAGGAGGCTTTTAAATAGTTCTCTTTCAAAACGCTTTATTTACCACATTTTCGTTCGTTCAAGCAAAATCAGGAAGGACAAAAATAATCTTTAAGTATTTTTTACTCTCTACAGCGGAATCTTAATTTCTCTTAATGCACTTTTTTTATCGTTCGCGTGAATATATTTTCACAGATAGATAATTCAATATAAATATCTATAACATATATAATTTTTGTTTGATTCTCAGGAAAAAATTCCATTTGAATCGAGAAATAGATAATAAGGCTGCAATTTTTTCTGTGATAAAACGTAAATGTAGGAAAACGAATTATTATGTGACGAATTTTACATTTCAATGCAATCAGCGGTAATAAGCGACACATAAGTCGTAGTTGTACAAAGTTATCTTCTAAGCATTTTTATAACACATGAAAAGTCAGACAATATTGAAAGCTCGTAGAATTCGCTCGATTGACGCTTCATTATTGCATGATAATAGGATAAGTGATGCTCACGATAATTTTAGAAATTAATTGTACAAACTTAACGTAAAAAAATTTCCCTAATTGTGCAATGTTGGGCAGTTAAACTTGTTTCCATTTGCATTACCGAGGCTCACCTACAATTTTAGCATACATCATGATATTTTTGGCATTGCCACATTTTAGTGACAATACCATGTCTCGACGTTGCATATACATTTTTTCACGCAAATTTTTTTTTCAGGCAAATTCTTTGGATTTTACGTTTGTTTTCACGAAACAAGTAAGCTAAAAGCATGACAACATCTGATTAAATTTAAGTTACGTTTTTTAACAAAAGCGATTCAGATACTCGAAAGTTTTACGTACGATCGAACTTTCCTTACAATTGTGCCAAACACATGTTCCGATGCTTTTAACTTGGGAGAAAGTAAATTTGGGTATTTTTGTTTAATGATTTTCATGGGCAATTTTCTACGGTATCACGATTGGCGATAAGGCAGTGATGCGCTTCTTAGTAAAAATTTGCGTTATATATATATATATATATATATATATATATAACATTACGAATTCGAATGTAAAAAAAACAAATTTTATCAATGCAATTGTTGATAAATATTTTTGCAATTCTTAAGTTGACCTATACTTTTAAATATCCTTGTTTATATGAATTTATTTAAAAATTATAAATTTATTTCAAACACATTTTAAAACTTCAATTATAAACTAATACTAAGCTTATGTTATTTTATAAATATTGCATTCAAAGTAAGAATATATAAAAATATGCACTTTAATTATTACAAAACTTATACCTAATAAATGGAAGATAAACTACTCGCATTAATATATAGCTTCAATTGCTTTTCAATTTATTGGTAATGGTAATCCTCAAATAAATAATCTGCTTTAATATGAGTCTCATCATATCATGACCACTATCAATATTAAATATAGTTTTAAACATAAAATATTCATTATATGTGTTTGAGTACATAGAATTTTTCTTAAGAAGCGCATTTTGTACCACATTTCAATTCGCAATCCTCTTAATTCTACAATCTCGTTGTGACTCTTAAGTGATAATTCCTATTTCACGTTCTCAAGTACAAAAGATGTATCGTGCTAAAGATCTTTCATATGCCTTCCCAGCTAATCTAAGAACTTTCCAATACTTTCTAAGATTATTTAAAAAGTCAAAATTACAATGCACGCAATTGAAAAAAATATTTAGGCTATGATGAATGTTTGTGTTGAACAATTTTTTATACATTAACAGAACAATATGTGTATATTAGTTTTTATGTATGCAATTAAAATCTACTTTATAAGCAGCGCTTTAAAATATGAATGAACGTAATACATGACCAATTACAGATGTTTGGGACTTTTTTTAGGTACTGTTCAAGTATAAAACAATATTTTTGACAATACTGTATAGCTTTCTCTGTATTTTATAATTGCTTTTCTCCATTATTTCTAAAGATTGTTAACGCTAAAATTATTCGTTAAAGATTGAATGGAACGTGTTCAAGCATTATTTTACTCGTATATTTTACTAATAAATTTTCCTTTGCGAAATGTAAACTGACATTTAATATCGAAACTCTCTTTAAAAATTCGATTCAGTCGATATCTGTGAGAAATTTTTCATCGCCGACTTTTCATAAAATATTTGAATATCAAGCCTTTGCAATTTACAAGTTCTACTTAGCAACTGAGTTTCGTAGAGATCCCAATGAAAACCGAGCATTTGAGATAAGTGGTCGCGCGATTGTTTACTAAATATTAAGCTAGAGTGTAAAAATTTATTTCTAACAATTGATTTTGCAAACGCATTTGCTCAGTCGGTAACAAAAGTAGCTTTATCAGTGGTTTAAAAATCTGGTCGGAGTTTTTCTCGGCGAAAGAATGGACTGCTGACCAATGACATCCTCATCGCCTGTATACAGTGCGTGCATCTGACATTTTCATTCCCGATCCTTTTACCCGCTTATTATATCTTTGCATGTTGGATAATTGATGGAGGCTTTTCACGTTGAAAGCCAGTGGATTTAGTAGCTGACTAGATCAGCAAAGGTCTGGTCCATTTCTTCAGCGATTGCTTTGTACTTACTGCGCTCGTTTATCAGCTCATCTGCAATGCAATTGCCGATATGTTAGTATTGTTAGTATCAAATTGTTGTCAACAATTGTTAGTTGGGTGTAATAAATATGATTATCAAGGTCGATGGTGTCATATAAGTAATTGTGTTAGTTTATGGATTATATGTTATAACTAGGAAAGTATATATCGAAGAGAAATTGAACTATTAAGTACCATAGAAACGCAGTAGGTTTGCATAGTCGACCGAAGACAACATGTGTTCGAATATATTTCATGTTTAATACTTGAATAAATATTTTTAAAATAAAAATTTTATTATTAGTGAGGTTTTTCTTTCAACACGTGTATGTACAAATCGGAAACCCCGGATAAAATGAAATAAAATACCTAATTAAAGGCTAATTATTGCGAATGCTCATCGTCGATACCGTTCTATCATTTACATTTTGGAACTGCTCATATAGTTAGGAAGCATCATTACATAAAATTGTTTTTACAAATCATTAGCAAGTTAGTGCAATTATTAAAATTTTATTTGACTATTAGCAGCTAACTCTTTAAACATAGAAGAAAATCAATTTTTAAGTTACTTTGCCTAATCCAAGACTTCAAACCTTTCTTCTCTGTATTAATGATTCATCATGAATATAAAGGAATGATGTATTTAGATACCTGCTGATATATGACAATCAGACCTAACGATTATATTCTCGTATATATAGTTTTACGATCGCAAAAATTTTATAATAGGTGATTGACATACTGCCATCTACTCTAACATGTCATCAATAAAATAACTGCTTTTCAACAAATTTAATTACTGTAAGACTATAGCCAAAAATAACAAAAGCAATATAAATCTATTTTGCAAAACGTTTTTATTATAAAATCCAAATAACTGTAGTAGATGAACAAATACTTGACATTTACACTGCATATAATAAATACATTATAGTGAACTGAATTCGGTTTATTCTTGAAGTTTTTTTTTTGACAATGAAAGAGTAACAATGTTAGTGTTGAAAAAAAACAATGTAGAATGGATTTATACATGTGTGGCATAATTACATGTAAATTATAGACGCTTACATCTATCATATGTCCTCTTTTATCGTGTGAAATATATTACGATCTGCTTATAGGCTTTCAGAAATAAACATAATGATTATTATAACGAAAAAGTTGCTTGGAAAGAAACAACGAGGACGTGGGGAACAGTGAGAGATTGAGGGCAAATCAGGCTAAATCGTGGCTTACAATAAGTTATCATTTAATTACAATATTACAAGTAATAATAATAATTAATAGTAGTAATGATGTGTGCCGAAAAAAAAATATTACGCAACGATTGGTAATGTCGCTCAATAATATTATCTGTTCCTTTGCCATTATGATCGACGTTGTCTGAGGTGGCGCGCTGCGGCAATTTTGTTAATGTACATTTTGTGATTTTTGTTGCGGGTTTGTTTCTTTCTCGTTGTTTTGGATGTTCGAATAACAATTTCCTCAGTGCTGCGAGGTTTAACCAACCAATTCGGTGAAAGTGAGATCCAAGTCGTCGCAGATGTATTTGTACTTCTCCTTCTCGTGGACGAGCTCGTCTGTAAATTATTTCATCCACAATCGATTTCATGTCTTATTCGTCGTTGCCCGTGCAAATAAATTTGCTCTCGAGTAGTTCAAACTTCCAAATGAATTCAAATTCCATTCCCGAATAAATAACAGCATAGTTACTATATCTTGAATTTTTTTCATTTTGTATGCATAAATATAGTACAGTAGTATTTGATGAAATTAAATAAATAAACTTTTCAATTATTTTTGGTATTTGAACCCGTCAACCAAAGTCTTTTCAATATCTCATGATCTTTTAACCCAACAGTACCAGAAAAATCTAGTAAAACCACCTTGAAGTTCCCAAATATTAGGATAAGAAGCAATTGCAGGACGGTAGGTCGTCAAGGAATGAGTAAAACTTACTGCTGTTAAAAAGGTGGTAATGAAGCGAAATTGTAAAAGCATTATTATAGAAGCGTTAGTTGTTATGGCTGCGAAATATAAATATTTAGACGCCATAAAGTTCGACGAATGCATTGTCCAAGCCGTCGCCGACCTCCTTATATTTCTCCTTCTCCGCCACCATTTCATCTGCAAGCAGTTGCAAATTCATTGCTCAATGAGATTAATTGAAGCGCGCCAACAATTATATCGAAGCAATGAAAACTTAGCGAACATGTCGTGGACTTATCTTTTTAAAAGCAAAGATGAATTAAAAACTTACGTATCCGGGTCGTAAAAAGAATACACGTTATCGTTTTCATGTTTACAATAAACTTTAAAAAGCTGCACAATGACGCAAATTATTTTTATAATAAAAACACTTCACTTACCTCAAGCAACTCGAAAGCCGAACGTATGCTTTGATTGCTGACTATCATTACAATGAATAGTCTTTACACGTAGCATCAATTGAAATTTAATGTTAATAGACGTACATAATGTTGGAATAGTTTGTTGAGGGTTTTACGTTAGTGTAGGAGTGTAGCGTCAAAATTATATTATAATGGTTATTGTTAGTATAGAATGTAACAAAAAAAAGACAACGAAAATAAAATAAAACACACACACAATTCAAAATCAAAATATATATTATAAACATATTTATAATAATAGCAATATATATAATTAATATTACAATATTAGTGTTATGATCATTCCAATCGTTTATGCTTTATTAAGTAAATTAATAGACTAAACGATATACCTCGGGGCTTCTGTAGAACTTTCAAAATTCATCGCCATTTATTTGCAATCAAACAATTTAAAAAATAACGATAGAACGCATCAGAGACTCAATCGTGATTCTCCCGCACCGTTTTTCTTTACTTCGATCATATATTCAGACTCGTGCATGCAAACATTATGCGCGTTTCTATGCGCGCGAGGAAGAAAACAAGAACGTCGATAAGCTTGACGAAAAAAAAAATCACATGATACAGCTGATTCTACTAATTTTGACGCGGAATGTTTGTAACAAAATACTGTTTCGTAACCGGAAAGATAATTATATCATGCATTTCTTTGTCTTCAAAATGAGCGATAGAAAGAAATTAGCACGTTGAGCTTCATCGGCGAGAACGATGGCAAAAGAGCGATCGTGTTTTAAAAGACAGACAAAGCGAGAGAGAGAGAGAGAGACGGAAAGAGAGAGAGAGAGAGAGAGAAAGAGAGAGGGACAGATAGACAAAGAGAGATAGAGATAGAAAGAGAGAGAGAGGAGACAGAAAGACGCGAGAAACGACAGTAGATTACAAACTAATAAACTTATTGGAAGTTTGATCGACGGAATGCCTGAGTCGGAGTGATTGTTCGCGTTCATTTTTTACTTAATAAATTGCACGACGCAACGTGTGCGTTTATAATTTTTAGAAAACTTTCTTACAATCATAATATATAGATGATTACTTGTTTTTGCCAAATATTGTACGAAGATAATGCGCGCATTCGTCCCGCGAAACCCTTTATCAGTCCACCTTTTCATATGCTCATAAACATTTCGGTTTGACTCTTTACACATTTCAAGCGATACTCACTCACTGTAAGAGGCTGTCAAAGTTTATAGGAATCTACTTTATCTACACTGAAGACTTGTAGAGTCAGCATGATCGATATATTGACATTAAAATATACAATTCCGTTAAAAAAAAAACAAACAAACAAACAAACAACAAAAATGATTCGTTGACATAAAAAAAATCATCCGTATTATCTTTGTTTGAATACTACATAAGAATAAAGATAAAGCATTATTACTTTCACAGCCCTACGATCATGAAATGAAAAACATTACTAACATAGGAAGTATTATTGCATGCCTTATTTGCCAATACTGTCAAATAATTTGAACTCCAATATAAGTCAAAGGGGATACAAGTGTCGCTCGAAATGCCGATCTGCAAAGACAATTAATTTGTTTGGCGCCATGATCAAGTGCGAAATGATAAATTTGATCAAAAATACTTTTACAATTTGAGCACAGGCTTGCTCGCGCGCTCCTAATTTAGCGTTAATACGCGTGGAAGAATCGTAGGCACGATCATAATCGGACGGTTGTGTTACACTTTAGTTTTTGCTTTTGAATCGTTTGTCGTTTTGTTCCTCTTTGAAACCACGAATCGAGGATCGTTACAGAATAATCCGGTCGCATCACCTGTTGCCGTCCGCTCGTAGCAGCGAACGACACAGCATTACAGACTAAGCCTAAAAAGACAGCAGTTTTTGTTGTTGTATTGTTTGGTGTGTCCCTTGTGTGTTATCTGTTATCGGGTCTAGTTTTGCACCACAACGTAAACTCGGGAGAGCGGAGGAATCGAGCATTTTTTTTTTGTTTTTTACATGTTCTGGATGTCATGCAGGGTCGCCTCCATCTCGTTCTGCAGCATTTTGTTTTTTTCTCTCTCGGTCACGAGGTCGTCTGTAAAGATCACTCGTTAGGGCCACTCTCGCGTTAAAAGTCATTAAATGGGGTTAAGTAACATTTCACGCATCTCACCTGCGTTCGCTTGTTAAATCATTATTGCTTTTTCGCTTGAAAATCAACATTAAACAGATATCAAACAAACTTAGCTTCTTTAAAAAGGGCTCGGAGCACAAAGTTCGCTTGCAAGATCAGTTAGATCCTATTCTTCTGACATATTTAATGAATGCCAGAGCAATTTTTTCGTCATCGTCGTAGGCTGAGAATAGGATCTAATTAAGCTTGTCAATATAACAAGGCAGCGATTTTAGTTGCGAATATGGGTATATTAAATTGAGGTAATTAGAACATCGAAGTAGGTATTTTCGGGTCAGCTTACTTGTTCGTCTCGATATTGAGACACGACCGTCAAGTTTTTTCTTTTCTGGGGTTCTATTTGTGTAATATCGGTCACCAACACGTAAGCGTTGATAACGTAAAATCCGATAAAGCAATTCCGAGATATGTTCTTGGTAATATCTAAATTGTGTTTTCATTGATCATACGTTGCTAAACGCAATTGGTAACGGACAAAGCTCAAAATTTCTGTATGGATGACTTTCTAACAAAAATGGAACTAATCAACTAAAAAGCCCTCATAAAATTTTTACAAATAATTTAGACATTCCAAAAGTGTAATTGCAATATCGATTTTCAAATATCAGTTGATTCACTGTTTGTTCCAGGTATAATTTGTTCGAAATTAAATTGAATGATAACGCACCTTCCAGCCTATCGACCTCTTTCTGGAGTTTCTGCACTGATCTTTCGGCGAACTCAGCACGGGCCTCAGCCTGCAAAATACAAATACGTTGTAGTGAAAGCGAATAAGGTGTTAGGGTAAAACCACTAAAAATAATCATTTATCAATATTTTGATCGCATAATTGTTGCTTTTAATGGTTTTGAAAAAAATGTTATTACGAATCTCAAAATAAATTTTAAAAATAAAAAATCGTTAAAAGGTTATCAATTCACATTATCACACTGCCATGCAGAAACAAAGTTGAATATATATAGTGTAAAATAATGTACAATGTGCATTGTACTTATTTATATCTAGCAATTGGTTGGTATGCTTGGAATCTGATTGTTATTAGGATATGTTCACATGTGTAATTTTGTATCGGCACACACATGCTCCATACCTGACTCGGACTCTTTGTAACCATATCGGCAACGTTGCGTCATCGTTACTTCAAAGCTCTCTGACACGGACATTATAGTTTTAATATTTTACGATAGTAAAAATTGGATGTCATGAAAGTACCGTAGATAATGAGAATTTGAAAAATCCTTTGGGATTTGAATTGTACAGTAACGTAAAAAAATAAAACCAACGGACCTGTCGTGGGCTTACCTCTTTCAATTGCGTTTCCAGAACTTTAACTTGGCCTTCGAAACTTTCCTCCCTCTGCGTAGCCTGAGAGTGCGGTAGTGTAAGCAGGTTTGACACAAACAAGAAAGAGACAAACGGAAAAAAAATGTTTTAGTACAAACAAAAACACAAACAGAAGCGTTATCGGTATATTGGTAATTGATATTGCGTGTATACATTGCATTTGCGAACGAATATCGTACAATGTTTCGGTTATGTATCGCATTAGAGGTACTACATTAGCACAAGGACATCGAATTAAAAGAAATGATTTGAATGAGAAAACTTTCTATTCGATATCCTCGACGTGTTATTTGTCTTTGGGAAGTCATAGGCTTGCAAAGACTAGAGCAATCAAACACAAGTCAAGAAAAAGAAAAACAAAGGCACTCCCGAACGACGGGTACCTCCTTTAGACGAGTGGTGAGGGTCTTAATTTGGTTCTTGTATTCTTCCTCGCGCTGGTTGGCCTGTTTACAATATTTTTTCATTACTCGTTAACTCGTGGCTCATCGTTAGTTCCGCTGTTTCGATGCTTTTCAAATATATTTCAATCGGAATTAAGAGCTACTCCCGCGTGCACAATCTACAAATTATTCCAATTGAGCTGCAAGACCTTTCACGAAAATGATCTATCAAGATTTATCGTTGTTCCGTTAAACTGTCAAAGAATAGAGGGCACACAAGCGTCGCTCAGTTTTAAAATTCACGGCTGAAATTCTGGACCGAGTAAACACAGCCTCAAAGCCGATAGAACGGCCAGCGCGGTCTGGCGAAATGACGTAGCAGGTCGTTTCGAGCGTAAAAATAGAACGAGATCTTGGCATCATACCTTCTCCTCCGACACCTCGAGGGATTTGAGGTTGTTGCCGACGACGCGCAGCTCCTCCTCCAGCTCGACGATTTTCCTGCAAGAGATTGGAAGCAAATGTAGGCACAGACGCGTCTATTGCGAAATCGGCAAATAAGGGCGCGACTCTCTGGCCGCCGTTGAGCGTGCGGTGACTCATTCGATCTTTTTTTCTTTTGGATTCATTTCACGCTTGATCGCGCGCAGCTCACACACCGGCCAGATTCACGCGGCGCCTCTCGTTCCTCCAAATGCCGATCGGTCTCCCGTGCTCGACTATTCCCGCCAATCGGCTCATTTCAATTGCAACCGTTTTCTCATTTGTTCTTGTTTCTTCGAGTTGAGTCCTGTCGGTTGCGAGTAACGATTGTACCCAGCGTTAACTATCGAAACATACGGAAGATGCGCGCTCGCGAGCGACACGTATTGTAAATCAGCAAGTGACCTGGATTCCAACAGTTGCTGCTCTCATTTACTTAATCAATCTTTTTAATTCATAAGCGAGACTAGGAGGCGATTGTTTCTATAATTAATTTTTCCGATAGCTCCCAGCGACGTTATTTCTGAACGAAAAGCGCGTTATGATTATTCAATAACAAGACGATCAGTTCTGGAGGAATCAGAGACGTAGTAATTATAAATAAGCCGAGAAAACAATGTATGTACGTTCAACCATTTTAAATGCAATCGATTTCGTTATAGAAAACAAATTATTGTTCATAATTAAGATGAATAAATGAATTGTTCCAATGAAAATCGGTATAATTTATAACATGTTCATATAACTTTGAATTTTTTCAGATTTTCGCAAGTATTGATTTGATTTAGTATGCTTACAAACCCACGTACATAATTTTCTGTATATGTACAGCAGTGTGAGTGTAAAAACGTAAAACAACACGATAAAGCACAAATTAGGCGGTGAGGGGAGGGGCAGAGGGAGATCATGCGGGGAGTGCCAGGGTAAACTTACGTCTCAGAAAGCTCAGCCTTCTCCTCGGCGCGTTCCAAGTCCTGCTCCATCATGACTAGCTTTCTGGCGACCTGTGAGCAATAGCCAAAACAACAAACGTCATGCCAATTGCCAAACAAGCAACCAGTTGGATTTTGGTGCTAGTTATTTTATGAGGGGCTTGGGGGGGGGCATAAGTCAAATTCAAAATAACACATGCTATCAATTAGGATAATAACTCAAACAGCTCGCTGCTCTGCTTTCTCCGGACACACGTTGTTCTCTCGTTGATTGTGCTGGCTTTCGAACGCAGGGGATGGAATCGCTAGTTTCGGCACAAACTTTTAACGAACATCTGTAAGTTCGATTGCAAAAGAATCTAGTGCTTCGGCTTTAGTAACAGGGCTAAAAAATTAACAACTGCAGACTGTATAAAACGCAATACAAATGGAAGACAATTAGTACGACACTATCTAATAAGTATGAAAATAAAACACATGTTATATGGGCACAATTGGAAAGTGCGAGCGCGGCAAGTGACGTGCGCGTCCGTAAAAGACACTTGAAGAAAAAAAAATAAAAATAAGCGCTTCGTTGTGTTGGAGGTGATATAGCCATTTTCGACTTTGCGCACACACAAAGTTATAAAAGAGCAAATAGCAAACAGAGAGAGAGAGTGTGTGTGTGTGTGTGTGTGCTTACGACTCGCCAGCCTCGGCACGCTCCTCGGCACGCTCCAGATCAGCTTCGACCATGGCCAATTTACGGGCAACCTGCATTAAGGACATACATAGTGTCACCATACACCGCCAATTGATTTTTCGCTTCAAAAGCTCAGCTGTTATAGCATCTTTCACGTGTTTTTCTGAACTTTTAGCTTTTCTCCTGCTCGGCTAGTGTTTTTTCTTTGCACTAGGCCTTTTTACTATCAGGCCGAGCTTCGTTGTTGTTGACGAGCTCTGATCGAGAGATGAACGAGATTGCCGCCTGATGATATTACGCGGTCGTCTAAATGCCGCACGCAGGCTAATCGCTCTGGCGCGTTGGTGCACAAGTTATTATCGAATTTGGTAAATTATAGTCGACGGATATCGCTGTGAGCAAATTTCACCAACTCCTTCATCTCTCGACAATGATTCCAAAAATGTATTTTCAATTTGATGTAAATTTAATTTGATCTCGGCATTTCATTTTTGAGCGCGCGATAAGGAAAATAAAAATAAAAATACATTTTTGAAGCGGCAAACATTATATTAGAATAAAAAAAAAAACAAAAGCACAACAAATTATCGACAAAAATGGCTGGAATGTCACGTGGTTTTTATGTTCAGGGAATCAAATTTGGCAACAGACAGTTAGCGATCACTGCAATCACACGATTAAATGTCGAGTAAACTATGAGAAAGAAAAGTCAGTCATTTATGCCGCTTCCGTCACAGGGAGTAGTACGCCATGCTCGTCCACTTTGGATGATTAGTTCGATGCAGATAAAAAAAAATTGTTGTTGCGTTATTGAAAGACATATGACTACATCCGCTAAATTTGGCAGTGGTTTTTGCGTTAACAAGCACAATCACAAATACCGAGTAATTTTGAGTTTTTCTTTTTTTCTGTACGTTAAAACAAAAACACTTTTGACCAAATAATCAGCCAAATTACCAATTATAATTGAACGCGAATTTGTCAAGATTGTTCCGCTAAGATTGTTTCGCTGAAATAACTGGTTTAAAAATATTGAAGGAGTAAAGACTCAACGTAAAGTAATATTAAATTTTGAGATATCATAGTTAATTTTACTACGTATTCATATAAATTATTTACAGTAACTGATATGAATGAAAGACTTACCGGCAAAGCACCGACCATCGCATATCCATTGCAGCCTCGAAATGGAGGTAATGGCTATGGAGAGGTCTAGAAGCTTTTCGAAATTCCAGTGACAAATTCGCGCTCAGTATGCATGAAGCACGCTTTGAATCCGGTTACAAGTGACTTTTAGGATACATCAGCGAATGTGTGTGTGTGCGTTCTCGTGCGGGTATCCCACTTGGGAATCCGCGCGCGATCTCGACCCGCATAGAAAAAGTCGCGCGGCACGGGACTATCATATTCATGGAGCTCTAAAAGCTTCGCCGTTTCAACGCCGTTTTCTCGACATTTAGATGCGACCGGATAGGCCCGAAATAACGCTTTCCACTTGAAAATAATTGAATGTCAGACGTACTTGCAAGAAAAAAAATGAAGCTGCAGTTGTCTTAGTATGAAGCATTCCGGCAAATCCGATTTTGTCACGTTGTTAGTTACTTTGACACATTTGGTTTGCGCGCGTTCCAAATTCTTCGACATCTATTTCAAACAGCTCTCAATTTATTATTGCTAAAGCGAGTCCTCCGTTGATCAAAGCGCAACTTGCCTTGAGTTTCATGGCCCCAAAGCGATCCGACCATTAGGATTTCGTACGAGAATGTCAACGCTCGCGCACAAATCTCGACAGCAGATGGAAAGCCCAAAACAATCATATCCGAGCAATTTGTCGTCGATCGCGTGAGAATAGGAAACATTTTCTTTTTGTTTTTTTTTGACTTTAAAACTTACGATCATAACACTTGTGAGATAATATAAAATCTTTTCCATGCAAAGACGGATAAAACCCTTAAAAATTGTAGCACCATAGTCACCAAAATAAAAAGAACAAATCCAATTATAATCTTCTTATCACAATATTTCTCAATATCACTTTTTGAAAATTGCCGTAGGTTGAGAAATGAACCAGTGAGCGATAACACGGTTTGCCTTATGTACACGTTGATAGCAATCTCGAAGCACCATCACACTTGTTACCTTGACCACTCTAAACCCTCCGCTCACTCGATCACCGAACGAAGAGGAGAATTCTATCATAATCTATATACAGAGCTCTAACGTTATGCAGATGGAATTGGAGTGCACCGTCGAGATACAAAAAGCTGTTTTACGATATAAAGCTTTCCCCCGCGAGAATTTGGCGAAAAATGACGAAGCGTATTATACATCGAAACGCTTGAGCAAATGTACAATTTTGGAAAACACTGTTTCTCTCGATGGGGTAGCCTGTCCGTCAGAGTTATATCAACGCAAGTGATCACACATCAGCCACATAGTCACACACACCAAAAGAAGAAAAGAAAAAACCGAAACGTAAGGCACTTCGTGTGTCGTATTCGCGACCCCCCGCGGCAGTTTAACCGTGGACTAGGAGCCGTCGTCGTCGTTGTTATTATCATTCGATTTCACAACACCACAAGCGGCAGCTGCAACAACTCGCGGCGGCACATTGGGTTCGCAAACCTCGTCGTATTTCTTGTCGGCCTCCTCGGCCAGGAAACGGGCCTCCTTCAGCTGATTCTCCAGGGCGTCCATGCGCTCCTCGTCCGCCAAGCTGCGGTTCTCGAGGATCTTGCGGGCGCTTTGGTCACCACATAATATTCAACATTAGTATCATTTTTTCTCTCAACGTTTATCATCGGTTTGTTCTCTCAAATTCAACATTCATCAGCTCCGCTCGCCGCCACCGGCTCGGCCGATCCGCTGCGCCGCCTAAAAACGTCATTTCGTCGAGCGATCCGTTGCGAACGACCGGGAAGATACTCTTTCTTCGTCTTCGAGTAAAACTAGCGACGATTACATGCTAATGCATGTCAGTGGTCGGCCGAAGCATGCTTTCACGTTGTCTAACAATTTTCAAAATAGGCATGTAGCTGCCGCTAGATGGAATTCATTCAATTGCGATTCCTGCCGGACAAACTGATTCAACTGTATCTTCCGTAATCGCCGAACGAATCGATCGACCGTCTGCCCATAATGGGCGTATATTGAGGGGAATGTGCGAGGGACTAATCGAAGCATCCGACGACGTCGCGAGGACAAAACCCACCTCTTCGTATTTTTTGTCGGCCTCCTCGGCGATGAGTTTGGCCTGCGCCAGCTGTTGCTCCAGATGCGCCACCCGATCGTCCTCCATGTTTGTGCGATTTTCGAGAGCCTTGCGTACCCTGGTTTTCGTTTCGTTTCGTTTCGTTCGTTTGCGAGGGAAAATGTTAACATTCTTTCTTTAATTATTGTTAGAAACGTTGAAAGATCGGTCAAAGAAAATAATGCGCAATGGCAAATGTAATTTAGCTCATTTCTTTCAACGTCTTCAAAGATAGATAAGTGATGAAAAAGAGAGATTCGTTCGAACGAGCTTGGCCCCAGCGATTCGCGTATTGTCAAGCGATCGAAGGGAAAAATGAGTACTTGTCCGACGTCATTGGTGCGCGCAATCAAATACAACTCATCAATGAAAGAAAACGTTTTTTCAATAAAATTTCCAAGAAAATCGACAAACAACGTGTACAGCTGTCATTTACTTAGTAGAGTAGAATAAGAACGAACAAGTAGTCCTCGACATTAAAATAATCTAATTTGATTAGGAGAAAACAGGAAACGGCGCTCGGTCATGCACCAGTCAAGTAACTGCGCGAAGTTTATCGGCTTCAACAATGAACGCGTTTTTTTTCCTCTCGCGGATGAATCTCTCAAAAGCATCTTCGAACAAGGAACAGGATGTGGAAAACAAACCGGAGATAATGGCATTGAAAGTCCAGAAAACTGCTTCTGCCTAAATGGAACCGATTTCGATGTAACGCGCGAATAATTAAGGTCAATCACACGCTCTCGGCAGTATTGTAATCAAGAAAGAGAAAGAGAGAGAGAGAGAGAGAGAGAAAATGACTTGCGTAACGCAGAGGCAGCTTTCTGGGCGTATCTTTCGCGTTTGGCATCGAGTCATCGCGGTGCAAATTTTCTATAAAACCGTCCTTGTGCACGTTCGATAGGTGCGTGAATTGATAGGCACGAGGTAATTGCAAGTTCCGCGAGTCGTCTACGGCGCGCGCGAATGAAAAAGACGTAACGCAGCGCAGCGTTAGCATCGCGGAATGCGAGGATGCGCGGCGATGACTCGGGTTCGCGCACGCGACGCTCTCATTGTAGCGCGGAGAGAGGACTTTCCGGCGGGCAAACGATTTGTCTTGGAAGGTCGGCCAATCGGATTGGGTGGGTCGGGATCGGGACTGGAATATCGTACGGTGAGGGTGTGGTCTCGCTTGCCCGATGGATTTTCCATTCAGAGAAATTTGTTTCTTTTTGTTTTTGCACGATTTGTCGTATCGAGATTGCGGTGTTTAATAAACATTTTCCGATTTTCTTGCTTCCGACAGTCTGAATGATATTGAAAACTTTACTTGCAATCAACTTGAACTAAACTGATGTGAAAATGTATTCGGTAAAAAAATTTCTCTTTGAATGCAGCGCGGATCTCCGCAATTAATATGACACTGAGAAAAAGATGCTTGGATAAATTAAGACTGTCAGAAAAATTGTAATTTACTATGGGAAATCGATTATTATTCTACTATTTTTTAAATTCTATTGTTCAATACTGCTTTAAAACACGTTTTATCAAAGCATCAATAGACAAGAAAAAAATCAGAACTTTCGTACGATATTAGCTTTCACGTAAATTATCTGGATATAAAAATGAATTAGTCGTAATTTATTTTATAAAAATTTCAGCGAACAATCATTGCCCTAGCTCAAATTTATGAATCGTATTTGAAATATAATTTTTATTGGAAATTGAACACAAAACAATCAAATTAATTTATTCTGTGTACGAGCATCTTTCGAATCAGTGAACTGTATAAATTTGCAATAAGAAGTGACTTGACAAGGAAATAAAAATTCCGATAGAAAATCTTGATGTAAAAATCGTACGTGAATTCTGATCAATTCTCTACGTTGATAAAAAAAAAAAGGTAAACAATGCGCAATGAAATAGTTGCCTTGGTGAGGCAAATTGCTTACCGCTCGCTCTCATCGGCAGCTTGAGAGGCTTCGGCGAGCTTGGCGGTGGCAGTCGCCAAGCGCTCCTCGGATCTCTCGAGGTCCTCCTCGAGGAGCTGGATGCGCCGGTTCAGAGCGGCGACTTCAGACTCGGCCTGAAACAGAGAGACATCGATCGAGCGTTAGTCGTTTGCATCGTACAGCAATTCGTAACGAGCGCTCTTCGAGAAAATGGATTTCTATCGGGCAGCTATTGACGGCAGCTTGCATAAGGGCAACCATAATGAATCATCCTTCTGCGGACGAAGACAAGCTCGGATCGAAAATGGAATGGTCGTTGAGGCCGCTTATGCCATCGTTTAAAAAAGCAATCCCTAAACGGCTGGAAAATCGCAGGCTCTAAAATGGCAATGTAGCGACGCTGCCCGCAATGTTAAATCGAACAACGGCGGCGCCTGACGTCATGCCAACAAATTATCAGTCTCGATATGCTTCCATAGGCGCGCATCGCAGGAGCGGATACGCTGCCTTATTGCGGTTCCCGGATACTCGTTGCAATTTCATTCATCAGCGGAAAAATCACCGATGAGAAACAGCTGGCGTCGCAGTGTCGCAACGACTCCAAGGCTGGAAGAGGAGTGCTACCGAAACGCGCCTGTCCACCCTGTCCACTGCCTTCGGCGTTTGATTTCGCTCGAAAGCGCCAATGGAGAGACAGAGAGGCGGCGCGCGGGCCTGGGCGTTCAATTAGCGCGATTGAAAGGAGTGCGCGCCGCGCTGGCGCAGCAACGAGCTGAATCGGCTGCTGGCGGCCGCGGCTGCCCAGCCCCGAGAGAGATGACGTCGAGCGTGACGGCGAGCGCGGCGGCCGCGCGGAAAAATCGCCAGCTAGCGATCCCTCGGCCTTTCGTCTCGCGAGCGACGAGCCGCGGGGCTACTCGTTGTGCCAGCTGCTGGAAAACCTCTGCCGCGTGTGCCTCGTCGCGGCGTCGCACGCAAACGCTGCGTTCGCGGCGCGGCACGCCTCTCTCTCCCTTGGCTGTATTTCAGGAGAGGAGGACGTATGAGACACGCAGCCCTCGCACCGCGTCGGCACACGCGCGCGTGTACGAGCGTTGTTCTCGTTGTTTCTCTGCCGCCCCCCCCCCCCTCTGCTCCGTCTTTCCGGGCGCGCTGCGAGTCAGCCGAGCCGATCCCCGTCGCTCTCGACGAATAATTACGCACACAATCGAGTCGTTGGTCCGTCGATTAGAGCTTGGCCTTTCATCCTTTTCGGGCAAGTTATCGCTTTCCGGATCGGGTTTCTAATGCGCCGTCGCGTTTTAACGGCGTGCGCCTTACCGACAGTCAATTAGTGCTTGCTTGTTCGGGTGATAATTCCGATCGAAGCGCTTGCGAACGAATAAAAATGAGCGCGAACATTCGTCGCGTCGCTAACGGCAAAAGCGTGGGTGTGGCCAGTCGTTTCCTCGCGCCAGCGCTAACAGCGGCTCGACTGCGCGCTCGTTGCTGCTCTGTCGCCACGCCGATTAGGGACGATCGCATGCAGCGTGCTCAACCAACGTCAGGCAGGTGTTACCACTCGCCTGTAGCCTGTGGCGTCTTCGGCGTTGGCGTTGACTCGAACCAGAGATTTAGCTCGATGAAAACGGAGACGAGTTTCGCCCGTCTTTTACCGTCTCAATGAATCTGGAGAGCTTTAGGTTATACAAGGCAGATGCTCGGATCGTGAGATCTACAGTATTTACGCGTAATGTTAACATTTCGAATGAGAGATGATTATCCACGCGTAAAATTGCTTCGAAAGCCCGATATTGGCTGCTCGAAGCCTCAGCGTTGTTGACATCAAATGATACTGCTGTTAAGCGAGAAATTAGAACAGCGATTTGAAATCGGCGCGGGAAGAAAATTAAACGAATGCACATCGTCTAGCCGCGGCTTCCGCGAAAAGCTGCTACTCGTATCAACAGCCGCATTATCGGACAGCCGGTCGAGCATCACAACACAGAGCTCCGCGCGAGGAATTCGCCGTCGAGAGGGATCACGAAACGATACACCGCAGGCAGAACAAGTCGGCGCGATATTGTTCTTGCAGCAAGCAAAACGGGATGATTGCCCCGTCCTTGGAATATAAAAATAATTGGTACTTCGCGAGTTGGTGCTGCAACGCCGCGCCGAGGATACTCGAAAAGGGAATAAAAAAAAAACGAAGAGAGCGGAAGCGGACGAGAGGCGCGTTTGCGCAGCGACGTATTGAATTAAAATTGCAGCCGTTGAGTATTGATCGCTGCCTCGAGGGAGATGAAAAGATGCAGGATTTTAAGAATGTGCATAACTGCGTTTGCTTTATGGACCGTTAATGAGGCTCTCCGCGGCGTTGCTAATTAAACTTTACGTCGCTCGAGCCGCACACGGGAGACGTTTCAATTGTAAAGTGTATAACGTCCGTACTCTTTATTTTAAATGGATACTCTTTAATTATTGTACGCGTATTCGGCGCTTACGCGCAAATAAATTGCGTGCCGAAAATCACAATGAGTCAGAGACACCATTTCTTAATACGAGTAACGTATCCGAAACATGTGCGTGTTCGACATGAGCGCTTTCTTCTTAGAAAGCGAGCAGCATTTTTTACGTCTGTCTTGCTACTCATGGGTGCCATTTTACTGCACACGAGCAACATTTTTAAGAAAAAAAATTACAAATCTTGATATTGTTGATGAAGGAATTCCCGAAGCATAAACGAGGTCGCGGACGTTTTGCTGAACAGACTGATCGTGATTCACGGCAAAATACTATGTACGAAGTTTCGAGACTACGATCATTAATATCAACACAACGTGACTCATTTCACCGTAAGGACTGAAGATAAGAGTGATTTTTCGATCAAATTATATTCAGCCTCGACTGGACGTATTTCTCTCTCAAAGGCACGTTTTTAACCGTAAACCTCCTACGCTGCTCGAGTCGGATATTATGGCTACGGATTAGCCAACGAGAAAGAGGAAAAAAATACTAAAAATGTGAGAAAGAAAGAAGCACCGGCGACACGTCATTTCGAAAGTCTGCGAGAGAAGTAAAGGAACACAAATCGTTGCTGGCATTTTTTTTATGAGAAGCGCCACCATCGATCGCTCCAGTTCGTCGAAGTCAGCGAATGATCCTTTAAACTTATGGGCTCAACTTTTTTGCGCAATAAGGCTTCGTCGATAAGTGCGAGAGAGAGAGAGAGAGAGAGAGAGAGAGGTAGTTGAATGAACTCAGCTTGATTTCTTTCTTAGAAACTGCTTAAGGGATATGAAAAGTTTGCTCGCAAATAATAGAACAATTTTATTTAACAAATCAACTTTATAAGGAATCAAAGACCGCGTACGTTTTTTTAAGTGAAAGTTTAATTATTAGACTATTAGCATTATCACGACAAGAATGAACAAAATTTTATCTTGTATAAAAAAGTGTCAAGTGGCGACATTATCAGCAACAACTCTTGATTGTCTTAAAAATGGAGCATCTACAGCTTACGTCTCGTAGTGGACTTATCAGAACACGAACAAAGCGAAGTGTGAGAGAAAGATAATGTCGCTAAGCAGTTCACTTATCCCTAATTGCTATGCTACACACGGTGCAATTAAATAACATTAGCAGTTTATTAACTATTTTTACTAAGTATAGCTATCTACAGCTGAACAATAACTTATATTTATATTTGGTGTTGATAAGAATCCTCAAAATAAAGTTCTTTAACAATGTAATCGATCGATAAATGGCATCCATCGTAGCGCTATCTGCAGGTGGCAACAATCGAGTATTATTAGACACACAGGCGGACTCGAAAAATGAAAACAAAGTAATGTGGCGTATCTCGAAAGCCTTGAGTTTTCCTCGTGGCTAATCTCATATTAAAGCAACCGTGAACACGCTTCGTGACTAATAACCCTCAGCCGTTGCGTGACATCAGCAACGGCACACATACACACACACCGCAGGGTGTTAAAAGTGCTCAATCGATCGATCGACACCAATAAGTCAGTGGCGCTACTCAGGTTCAAGACCGCGAAATAACAAGAGCCGTCCCTAAGATGCCTACAAGATGTTGGAGAAAATAGCAACACGATAGTATGCAAATTGCCGACGGAAGCAGGTGCGAAGATAAAGAGAGAGGATTCTTTCTGGTTACAGGCATCGTCGGCTGTGATATGCGCGCGTGAAAGAGCGAGCGAGCGCCTTATTGGGTTAGCCGCGAGAGAGCAGCCAAAAACGTCGTGGAAATGGAACGGTGCGTTCGATGGAAAGCTGACGGTCACGTATATAAAACTTGCTCGCGATTGTGATGACACTCGTCATGCTACATATTTAAGGCTTGCCGGTAACTGCCACACAAGCGTACACACACCAACAGACGAGCTTGTCGTTAAACATTTTCGGCTACAACTTTTTTGTCGGAGAAACGAGTGCGTATAGAGCCAGTAGCGGCGGCGGCGGTGGTGGGTGCGTGCCTCTCCCGGGTGTGGGAGCCACTGTATAAGCCGTGAGAGATGCTTGGTGCGTGAGTGTAGCTGGGCACTTACTTCCTCGCGACGGAGCACCTCAACCTGGAGCCGCTTGTGGTAATCCTCGCACTCGTCCTTGTACTTCTCCATCTCCTCCTTGGTCTGACGCATCTTCTTCTTAAGCACATCGAGGAGTGTACCTTGCATTTGGGTCGACATTTTTTGTTCTCTTACTTTCTCGTTATTCCTTTCTCACACAAAACTTGCCTCTAGCAAGGCCGCAACAAAAAACTCGCGAACAAAACGTCACTTGCTCGACCGATCGCGACTCACACTTTTTCTCTCTCTCTCTCTCTCGACAGAACGCTAGTAATACAACAGCACAGACGACGACGTGCACTGCACTCGCGATTGCTATTGCTGGAGCAAAGTTCGATCGAGGACTGCTAACAGGGTGTGTGTCGAACAGAGCGCTACGTGTGTGCGACGACCACCGACTAGCAGCTCTCGTTCTCTCTCTCTCCCTCTCTCTCTCTCTCTCTCTCTCTCTTGAGCATTGTGTCCTTGTTGCTCTCACTTACTTTAGCTAGTTCGCTGTCTCACTCGCGCACGGCTCGACCCTCGCGGCAAAGATGGCCGCACTCCGCCAAGCTGCGATATTGGTCGGTACGCCGCTGCTGCCTGTGTACGTGTGTATATGTTTGCTTGTATTGGCAGTTGAAGCGCATGCGCTCTTTCGTCAAAAGCCGACGACCACTGACCGGTACTCACAGATCGTATAGATAGAAGAGCTACTGCTACGGGGACGAGGAGTGACAGAGACAGAACAATGGGTTTATGGTTGACCGCCACTACGTAGCCACGATTTTTATTGTTGTAGTATGAGGTTTTGGAGTTTGGAGCAGCTACTTTGTGCACCTCAAGTGGGCCCGCCCTTTTTACCACTTGTTTCACACTTTTCTTTAATAACTCGCACCCAATTTTTAGCAGAAAAAATTTGATTTCATTTTTATTTCCTTAAACCTGTTCGTAATCTGCCTGGTGTTACAAAACGGAAATTCCACGTAAGATCCAAACAAATGTAAGTAAGGATTTTACAAAATATAAAAACATGTTTTTCAATCGAATGTTTTCGCCAATTTCTCATTTATAACTCTTATGACAAATTAAATCAAGTAATAATAGTTCTATTAATAGTTAAAAAAAGGTTTTAAAGAAAAAATAATATGATAAAAATAAAAAATCAACGGAGCAGAAAAATTCAAGTACTACTCACGAAAGAACAGTTGTAATTACAGCATTATAAGGAGTTCGTAGTCTTGCGAATATAAAAGTCGTACAGTTTTGCCGAAGGGGAGAGAGTGATAGAGAGAACGAAAAAGTAGTCCTCGTCTTGTGTACGCCAAGGCAGATTCATGGACGACAACCAAAGTTCGACATGTCATGCAAAAATTAGTGTTGCTTCGTGGCACCAAATGGACATCGAAACATCAGCGAAAAAAAATATTCGACACGTATGTACGAAAAGGAGAATCCTCACGAAAGCACGCAAGGTTACGGGATCGCTTTTTTTGTAGGTTAGACGCCATTTGTCGGCTCTCACGCTTAATGCAATGTATGTGTGTGCGAGTGGGAGGTTGCAACATCTATTAAAAGTACAGAGCGTCGCATAATCAACCGTGCATACTTATATATACTGTGCATGCGTGCGTGCGTACGTCATGAAAAGCCCGGAAATACCGCGCCCAAGCATTGCGTTCCGGTTTTCTGTGCTGCTGCTGCCTGCAGCCACTTCATTTATAGAGCGCTCGAGAGGGGATTTACGCCGGATGGCTGCGAGACCGTGCACACACCGTTCATCTACACCTCCAATTAATGAATGGCTTTTCATCAGTTTTTTCACTCGTTTTCGCTTTGTTGCTTCGCTAGTACATACGCACATAACACCGATCGGCGATTTTTATTTTTATTTTTTCTCGCGATAAACACTTGTTGATCGAACTTAGAAGTTGAACGCGTTCAATTTCTCATCGACAGTATCGATTTTACGCTTTTATTGTTTACATATAACTCAACCGTTTGTGCAAAGGTATGAGAGCATTGTGCTGGCACTTGCATTAACAGTTTGCATTTCGAAAGTTTATTTAATAGAAATTTATTTAATTTTGACAAGCATAACATTTTTTAGAGTAAATATTCAAGAGATTGCGTAAATAAATTACACAACTCTAATGTACTATTATTATTGCGAAGAAGACTTGCACTTTAGACAAAATTTACTAAAAAGTAGCACCTTTTAGAGTAAATATTCACACAAGTAATATTTCAATCATGAATACTTCGTGCTGATGGCTATTCACGTTATCTATTTAGAAAATCAATCAATGCAGAAATTCTTACCAACTTATGAAATAAGAATACCAAATCTGTTGATTTCAGAAGCAAGAGATATTTTGTAAATTTTATCAATTGATAATACTTTACAAATTCCCTGATGTTTGTCCTCTTCAAAGATTCATCAATATTGATAAGATAACCAAAAAAAAAAAATAAAAATTAACATATTGCCAAAATAATGCTTGTAATACTTATGAAAATTGTATAAATGAAGTTAGACAATTTGAGTAACAGTTACACAAAATAGAAAACATAATTATAAAAAAAATCATATTTATAATAATGAAATTGTGAAATAATTTATATTTACATATACCATAAAAAGTGTTTAAATTAATTTTAATATTATAAATATTTATAATACAAATAACTTGAAAAGTTTTAACAATTTATTTTCAAACTCATGAGCTGATGCAATGCTGTTATCAAATAAAAATCAAAGGCATTGGATCACTTCAATAAAGTATTTATAGCCACTTGGCATAACTACATCACTATAGGTAACAGTTGCATATTGAAACAAAAATATTCCAATGTTTAATGCTAAATTCATCTCTAGCTTGTAAACAAAGCCTGAGTGGAGAATATCATGTAAGTTTTTAATTTTTTTAAAATAATTTTTTTATGCAATTCCACAAGAAAAATTTATTCAATGCCTTCCAATTAACTAAAAGATATGAATAGCTCTATAAATCATTGCGAAGCAATTACATTAGAACTTGGAAAGAATTAAGATGAAAGTATAGTTTGATTAATTTTAAAAATGATAAGAAAACCATGTTGATGCATACAATTACATTATCTGTTTAATGTATAGCATTGGATGAAATTCCAATTCATACTGCAATACTAACCCTTTTTAGTTGATTGCCCATAATATTTTGCAATTCATTTCGAATGAGACTGAACTTCATCATAGTATCGCTGGAGAATATGGAGCATCCAAAAGCCAAGCCAGGATAGTCAGCACATCGCTTTCTCCGTCTGGCCTCTCTGGCAGCTTGTACTTCCGTCTGCTCACTTGAGCACCTGAGCTTGGCAAGTTCCATAAGCTCTGGATCCTCCTCAACAGTGACAACCTCCTCGTCAGAATTGCCATCGCCTCTAGCTCTAGCGACTGCGTGCTCGAGTTCGAAGCTTATTTTAGAGTCATTTTCATTGTCGGAGAGACTAAGACTACTATGTAGCTTAGTTTTGGCTTCGCTCTGTGTAGTGTCATCATCCTGGCCACACTGCGCGGGCCTCTCGTTATGAATGACGATCAGTCTATTATCACAGATGTTATTGTTGGACTGGCTGTCCTGAAGCTTGTTGTTTTTAGCTGCGGCGGTTATTCGCCTTGGCGAGCCCTGCTTGAGGTTAATAGACGACCTCGGGCTGGTACTCTCCGTAGACTCGATGTTACTGTTGATGGCATTCACAACCCCAATGGGGCCACACTGCGCGGGTCCACCGTCGGGGCCCGAGGAAGTTGTTATCGAAGAGGTCGTGGTCGTCGTCGTGCTTGTCATCAGCTGACTCTGATCCAAACGACGTCTAGTCGTGTGTCGAGGATGATGCTGGTGACCTCGACGTCTCGTCGACGACAGAATCGGCTCCATAGTTATCTCTGCTGCTGCTCTTTTTCGCGCGACTCTGGCTGCTTGTGATACGTTGTAATCTGTCTCAACTGGTGCTTGTTATTGTCTGCATTCTGCCATTCTGACATAAGTTGTGTACGCTTGTAGGTTAGGTAGGCGGTGCGCAAGTTGCCAGCGACATTCTCTCGTCGTTGTTTGTCGTGTGTCAGGCGGAGAGAAAACAAAGAAAAATTGACTTTCTCCGAGACAGCTATTGGGCCGTCGCTATCGTGGGCTCGCAGCCCAACGTAACGATGATGAGTCGAAGGTGAGAGAAGCCACCACCACCTTCACCGCTCGCGACTCCATTTTACTCGCGACTGATCCTCCGCCGTAAGCTACCTGCGCTCGATCCCGACAGATGGCACTGCCAGATACGATTGCGCCAGGCGGGAATCTTTGAACTGCTTTGAAATTGGGTCGTCGGTCGTGCGAAGCCGGCGGAGACGGCGGCGGTCGCGAAGAGGAAGACCAAGAGAGGGAGGAGAATGCGACGAGGTTGGTGCGCGCGGCACGACTGCGGATCACCCGCTCTATCGACCGCCGCTCGAGCAACGACGACGAGAAAGCGAAGGTCGTTCACGAGCTACCAATTTGGACGACATGCGTTGCGCGTGTGGCCCACACAGCTGCCACCGCACTAACATTCTGTACGTGTGTGTATATAGACGTATGGTTATGCTCTCCGTCTCTTTCTCTCTCTCTCTCTCTTCTTGTTCACGTCTATCCTTCCCACTGGATTTCTTGCGAGAAATCGCTGTGTTTTTACAACTGATTCGCAGAAATATCTGCTGCTTATTGTGCTGGAAGCTAAAACTTGGACTGTTTATGCGAGCTTTGGGTATTTTCGTTCGACTGCCAATCCTTTTTTTCCAAACGAAATGCTTGCTTCGTGAACATTTTATTTTATTTCCAGCGCATTTTCTCGTTTTACTTTAGATTTGTTTTAATATCAATTCATTCAGAATGACACGCTTGCGTCAGCGAGGTTTTTCGCACAACTTTTTCGCAGCTTTGAGCATCTCGGCCAAAAAACGTAGATTTGTTGCAATTCTCACGCGGAGTAGCGTTTGATGACTTCGGTATGAAAGGAATCGCTTTCAGGATGGAGATTAAATTTAAAAAAATCGAATTGACGAGTTCTCTTCGAGTGAATGATGCTCTATTCGGAAGGGAAAAAAGTTCCATCTAAAAATACGAGGAAAGCTGAACAGAATGTCAAGAAGTGAAGCAAAGTGGCATGTGTAGGATCAGCGCTATCAGTTAGCAAGTAGCGTATATATAGTATGCGATACGAGTTTTCGGTGGATCGTCGTTGCTCTTGGGTAAGACGATACTGCGTCTCTCTCTTTCTCTCCCTCTCGACTCGGTTCGACAACGACAGCAGCACGAAGAAGAGCAGGAGAGAGCGAGAGAGAGAGAGAGAGAGAGAGAGAGAGAGGAGTGCGAGCTACGTCACGGCATTCTTGCAGCATTACACATTGCACACGCACACGGCCAAGGTACCATACATACGCAGTGCATCTTCAACGGTAAATGCTTGTCAACGCTGCCGCCTCTTTTCTCTTGTCGAGCGATCGATCGTTGCGATATCGCGACAATGTGCATCGCTGTTTTTTCAATATTGCTCGGCCTCGCCGCAAACCATTCTGCAAACTCTCAGACATTGACTTTGATTGCCGCACGCCGGGGACAAGGCTGTTTGGCTTTCTTCGTCGCTCCCGGCACGCGCCTTTGCTGATTCTTTTTATTTGGAAAAAACATGTTCGACTTGAGCCATCGCGGCTGCGAGATATCGTTGCGCGTGCTCGTCATTTCTTTTCGTGCGAATATTTGACGTACTTTTCGTATTCTTTTAGAAAGATGCTTGCACTTTCTACGATCAATTGGCTCACATGTTCAGCGGGGACAAATATTATTTTAAGATTATTTTTTTCAATTGATATTCCTCGATAAGCCTATTGAAACTTGCTCAAACTTCATCCTGGTTACGTTTAATTTGCCAGCGCATTAAAATCATAACGAACAGTAAGAAAAGGAGGTATGATCGGCGAATAAGCAAGAAAAATTACTCACGTTCTGGAGAGCCTTGTCCTTCTCCTCGAGCTTGGCGTTGACCTGCATAAGGGCCTCCTGGGTCTGGTCGAGCTCGTTTTCGATGGTCTGGATCTTTTTCTGCAGTGCGCGGGCCTCCTCCTCGGCCTACATTTTAACATTCACCAACACCAAAAATGGATTAATTCGCGCGTGTCCTTGCTTGATATAGATCTTTATTCTTGCGCGCGATGCCTTTTATAAATGTTACACTGCACTTGCGTCTCGCGATGAAAAGCTCCGTCGTTGCGCAACGGAGCTGTCGCGTTTTGAAATCGCGTTAACGGCCGATCGATTTTTCAAACGGTCCTTTCCGTCGAGTTCGGTGCCGGCCGACCATCCCGATTCGAGACAGCAGTTCGCCCGCGCGCGCGCGCGCGCGCAAATAAAAGGGAATCGCGAAAGTTACCCGTCGCGCACATCACAAAGTCTTTCACGGCAAATTGATCCGAGCGCCCCATCTGGATAGTAAGATAAATCGTACCTTTTCCGCGCGCGCGTTCGCGTCGCGGGCCTGCTGTTCGCAGAGCAATGCGCGATCCATCGCATTGTCCTTCTCCAGCTTCATTCCCTGCATCTTCTTCTTGATCGCGTCCATGATGGCGGCTTTTTGCTTTTACCTGCTGCAACAACAATAACACATTCCATTAGCCACAAGCGGTCTATCGGATTTTCAACGCGACTGCTGTTTTTAGAAGGTGCCCGTCGATTCGGCATACTCAGAGCATATAATCTACCGAGCCAATATCGTTTGTTTATAAAAACAGGAGGCAGTCAAAAGGAAATTATTTAACAACGCATGTAAATTTCAGCCTGGCTTGTTGCTATAAATAAAATATTAACGCAAACAAAAAAGCATATTACAATTGTAGATATATTTTCGTACGTTTCCTCTTCTTTTGGCCTGTCTATTTATACTGTTCTAATTTAAAAACATTAAAGTTTGATTTGAGGCATCGGAGGCTTAAAAAGTAGGATATTTTTGACATAGTCAAATGGCAATACAAACATCGTTAGCCATTTGACTATTAGAGCTGTCGCGCATTCTTGTACCGTTACGTTTGTCTCAAAATAAACATTTTCATTTGCAAATTTGATACTCCTATAACTTGCCGGTCTTATTTTTAAGGGATTTCTACGATGGGTCACGATTATCGTTCGAAAGCTCCATTAGCCTAATACCGATCTACGAAAGCGAGGTGTCGATTTTCGATTGGGATCCTTGGCGCGGCGGCAGATCGAATCGAGCGAAAGGAAGCCCCGCCGCGCCGCCAGAGCCGGCTGAGCGTATTTTCCTGCGCATCCAAGTATATAATTAGTAGGCGACCGGGTGCTTGCGCACGAGCTTTATTTATAGCGGAAGGTCTTAGCTGCCGCCGATCGGCCTGGACTCGTACTGGCCAAACGTTCACTCCGACTTTCGATAGATCGAGCGCGCGGAAATACCCCGTTCGACTGCCGTTCCAGTTTCGGATATGTGGACGAATCATCGGCGATTTCAATAGCTTTTATTTCACTTTGGCCAATTTTCAGTCGACTTCAATAATTAAAGCCGTCGTTTCATTTCGGAAACTCGTTATTATTAATGAAGCTTTGGTGTCATCGACGTTTCATTATTTTTCATCTAATATTGCCAAGAATTTACCTTAGTGGAATGTTGTACACGAGGAGAAAAAACAAGAGACCGATGAAGGCATTATTATTCAACAGAAACAGCGAAAGTGAACGAAATGAGAATTTATCCTAACTACATGGAAAATGATTACAAAAGGAATTTAATTTTTTTTAAACAGCCATTCGAGAATTATTGTTAGTTACCAAGAATTAATTATATCATCAACAATGCGAACTTGTTTGTCGAGTTTTGAAAACAATAAATAATGAAATCGTAAATTTAGCACTTGAAAATTCCGGATATTATGCGTTGCGGAGTGACATAATCTCACAAACATAGCCGGTTAATTTGGAACGGCTTATTTTCGACTCGCTCCCGCACATTTTTCGACGACGAGTATACGCGCGATGCACCAAATCGGTTTTCGCAAACAAGCCGCGGCACCGACTTGAAGCACCAAAAAAAAAAAATATAACGCGCGCACATACATCCGAATCCCGCACGGCTTGCGAATGATAAGCTCGGCATGAGGGCGTCAGGAAACGCGATCCACGTCGATATCGACGAAAACAGAATTTCCAGTGGAAATCAGAAGCGCGAGACGTTGGAGACGCGCGCGCGGAAAGGGAAAAATCGAAGAAGAGGAGTACGCGAGAGAAAGAGAGAGAGAGAGAAAGGGATATTTTTACGCGCGCGTAAAAGAAGGCGACGACGGCGAGGTTGGGCAAGATCGAGAGCGCGGCGTTCGTATTCCACGTCGGACCATTTCGGGTTCGCGCCGAGCACACCGGTGTCCCCTTACACCAGCCGGAAAAATCTCACGGAAATGAAAACGCCGGCTTCCGCGCGATCGTGAACCCCCCTCCCCCCTCTCCGGCAGGCCCCGATCGCGTGCAATTAGTTAGCGTGGAAAAGTTTGAAGTAAACCGCGAGGCAAACTTTTTGCGAAGCCGAGATTTTGCTTGCAGCTCGATCGAGGTTAAGGCAGGGACTTTCGAACGGTGGCGAGAGCAACTTACCCGAGCCGGAAAGCCAAAGGACGTTGAGCGTGCGCTCGCGTTCGGGAAGCGCGTCCGCGGCCAATTAAGCGGCGTGCTCGTTGAAAAGGCAGAGGCTCGCGCGAGCGCGACCGCGGGACTTTCCAAGAGAAACGGACTGGATTCGCGACTCGGCCGCTGGGTTAACGCCGCAAAAATCCGGCGCTCGGGGCGGAACGAGAACGACCACGGCTGCGGCTTATCGCGCGTGCCGTGGCGTCGCGAGGCAATGCAAGCTCGCCGCGGGCCGCGTTCCTCGCAGCGGGCGTCCCTAAAAATAATCACGGCCCGGCCAAAAAAGACGACGCGCTCGCACGGCCGCCGGGCAGGCCGATCGGCACGGCAGATCGGCGCTTCGCGGAGGCTACTCACGCTGTGCGAAAGGCGAACGGTGGCTGCTGCGCTGAAAGGCGTGTGTGTACGTCCGAGCTTCTCGTGTGCGCGCTCAACTGGCGAGTTTGGCCGCAACTGAGCTGTCTCGGCGCGCCGAGCTGCCACCGAAAAGCTCTCGCGCACGCAGCTACGAGATCTCCCACCTTTGCCTTGGGAAGAAGAGGGTGTGAGACACGCTAGCCAAGACGACTCGAGCCGTTCGTTTCTTCGTCCTTCGCTCGCTCTCTCTCTCTCTCTCTCTCTCTCTCTCTCTCTCTCTCTCTCTCTCTCTCTCTCTCTCTCTCTCTCTCTCTCTCTCTCTCTCTCTCTCTCTCTCTCTCTCTCTCTCTCTCTCGTTTTCGCTCTACCGTGATTCGCGCGCGCTCTAACTTTTCTCAAAGTTCTCTCGTTCTTCTTTTTTTCATTTCTCGAATTGTGTCGTTCTTTGCACATACTCGGCATACTTTTTCTTACTCACTGTGTACGAATAACATTTCTTATGATTCAATCGAATGCACGCTCACCTCTCGTTTTAATATCTATCAATTTACACTTCGAACACATATATATATATATATATTTATATAGACGATTGTTTTTTGAATTTCCAAAGTTTAAAAATTAATTAACATAAACATTGCTGACCAGATATAATTATTAAATGTGATTATTTAAAATGACTTCGAATTACGCCTTCTATCTGTGTCTTCCCTCTTTTTCTCTCATAAATGCAGGG